AGAAGTACTTGCTCCCCGTGCACTTCCCCGTTCTTCAGCAGCTCCCCGCCGGCCTGCGGGTTGTCATCACACCGCTCGGCAGGTCCTCTCCAAACAACGCTCCGAAGCCTCCGGTGACGTTTGGACATTCTCAGCGCTGATTGGCTTTCGCAATATCGTGTCAAGCGAATTTTTCAAGTTGAAAAACGCGCGAACCAGCGAATGTCACGACAAACGCCTCATTTGCGGGAATTGGCAGGAATTTGTGTCTTTTAATTGACTTTGTGTGTAATCAAGCCGCCCAAAACGCTGGATTCTCTTTCAGTGTGAACGCACCTTTACACAAGATTACATTTAAGTCTGAAGTGCTACCTACATTCATATTCCTCCTATTTTTTTACTTACGATTTCCAAAAGTGGAAACTGGTTAAGCCTGGCCTAGCATACCGCATAAATCTAAATTCAGCAGTTTCATACTACTGCTGCATATACAGTATGTGACCTCATCGCTGGACACTGTGAATTTTAGTTCCTGTTCTGAGCAGTTAGGCTCAGCGATTTGAGTCGTTGGAAGACTAGAGAGGCGCTTTACAGACTATTTACCATTTGCAGAGTTCAGCTTTCATGTAGGTCTGTGTTCTGCAATTTACACTGAACAAAATTATAAATGCAACACTTTTGTTTTTGCCTCCATTCATCATGAGCTGAACTCAAAGATCTGAAATTCTTTTCACAAATATTCTCTGAAATATTGTTCACAAATCTGTCAAAATCTTTCTGTTAGTGAGCAAATCTGCTTTGCAGAGATAATTAGAGACTGAATGATTTGTGCTTGTCTGAATATGAAAAAGCAAGTCTGCGTTCTGACTTTCAGTGTTGGTGTCTTTAAAATCAGGCCACATGTTGTTTCTGCACGCTGCACACACGAGGATAATCCCAGTGTGCAGTAGATGCTGTTGTGACTGGTTGTGAGCTGTCAGGTCAAAGAGCTGCTGATAGAGATCGAAGAACCTGGTATTAAAGCTGCAGGTTTCCTTCCTGCTGCACAGACTTCTGGGCATTATCCAGAATTCATTATTGGCAGCTTCAACACGAGCTGAACTCTGGGTAACAATGCACCAGCATCCTGTTGCAGGCTCTTAAACAGGAAGTAGGAAGTGGCTGGCTGGCTGTGTCTGGTCTGGCTCTGTTTGATATCCACCTGACTTCTCACAGGACCCAGGGGTCGTCTTAACAACAGAGTCAAGGCCACGCCCACCACCTCCCAGACTGCATCTGTGCAACAGCCTGAGAGTAAACAGTGTTGTGAAACAGTGTTGACGGCGAGTGTTTCCAGGCCTGACAATAAACATGTTTGTGTGACCGTGTTGGCCTCAGATGTGTTTACCAGTTAGTGCACCACAGCTGTAGAAGCACATCGGTATCCAAGGGACGGTGCTTTCATGGGTTCGATCATATTTCTCAAAGAAGAACTCAGCATGTACGTTACTAAAATACAGTCTTTGAAAAGTGAAGTTTGGTGGACCCCAGGGGTTGGCCCTTGGTCCTATGCTTTTTTTTGTTTGTTTGTTTGTTTACAAGCTTCCCTCTGGCATCATAATTTGCAAATATGGAATTAATTTTCATTGCTACACTGACGATACACAGCTGTGTGTTTCTGTACAGCCAAATGACCTTTCCCATCTCCCAAACTTAGAGCCAGGTCTATCAGAATTTTAACTCGTGAATCAGGAATTTCTGGCTTCAGAGCGCTGGCCTTCCTTATCTCCATCAGACGTTAAAGAAGCACATTTAGTTGTTAGTAGTTATCTTTACATCAGGATTGAAAACCTACCTTTATTCACTTCACTGGAGCCTCCTCCAGAACTGTCAGGTCCATTTGCCTTTTAGCATCTCATCTCAAATATTTGTTTTTTATTATCATATTTGTTTGCTGTATGCATTTGTTTTTATTGCATATGCCTTGCACTACATGTCACCAGTACACCAGCGTCTGGCCTAACGATGATAAAGAACTTTGTTTTGTAGATATTCTTGATGGTATTTTAGTGATTGTCATCTCTTGGAAAACGCCACTGGAGTGAAGTGTTTCTGTACAAAAACAAAAACGCATCTTTGTCAACTGATGTTGGTGAAACTGAATCATATTTGATGGATGAATATTTTCTGGTTCTCCTCAACTATCTGTGATTTACGGAGTTTGCTGATGAACAGATAGCTTTACTAGCTGCTGTTAGTTAGCTCCGTTACATTTATATTTATTCATTAAATAACAAATGAGAATGCTTTGAGAAAGGTTTAATTGCACAATAAGAAACATGCAATGTAAATATCTAGGAAACGAATGTGCATTGTCCAGGAAAGTAACTTAAAAACAAGTTGCTGATCACTGCATTATATTTTGTATTGTCACCTTACACCTAAATTTTGTGTTTCCCTTTATTTATATATATAAAAACACATTTCCAACCATAAATCGGTCCAGAAAATGTCTTCAGAAAGCTGGAATTAAGTGTTTAATGCTCAAAATCTTCTGGGTGAGGACCCCAAATCACACACCACTGTACTGAATATTTATTTGAATATCATATTGTTTTGTTAACGTTTCAAGGGGCAAGTGTCTCACTGCACTCCTGATCTGAGCCCTTAAATGTCCCCACCACTTTTTAGCATCACCAATTAGCACTTTTTGCATCGCTAATTAGCTTCACTGACCTCAGCTCCTCCAGTCACCTCCGTCCTTTCTTTTCCAAAACCACTTTTTCAGACTGAAACAACAGACTTTTCTTGATCTTGAGAAGCCGACACTCTGTAACAGACACCGGACATTTACTGCCAGAATATTTTCCTCTGCTCGCGTTCACGTCACTTTCTGCCGCCCGGACCATCAAACACTCGCTGCTCACCTCCTGATTCAGAGTTACGCTGCTGTTATAACAGCATCTGTCACGTAGACGTCCTTTGATGAATGAGGAGAGGAAGCGAGCCGAGCATTGAGTAGAACATTGATATAATAACAATCGTGGGAAATTTTAGTAGCAGCGGCGCTCCTGAATGCATAAAGGAGAAACACTGACACTACTCTTCTAATATTTCTCAGGCCGTGGAGGTTTTCAGGCCAGGGGGCTTGTAAAGTCTATCGCCAGGGGCGGGGGCCCCAGCAGGGAGTTAGGGGCCCCAGATAGGGCGCCAGGGCCGGACTAGCGGGCAATACCACCGCGTTCAGCAGCCTCCCAGTGAACACAGCCTCAAAGACCAACAGGAACACAGTGCCAAGATTTACAGCGCTTCAGGATGGACAGATAGCTTTAGTTAAATGCTGCTAACTGTATCTGTATCTATCTCTGTAGCTAGTCAGCTCGGTTAACATTAGCCGGGCCGCTAGCGGTCCTATTAGCTGACTCCGGCCCCCGGGGCTCCTAGAGCAAAACCCGGAAAGAAAACCACCTCGGTACTGTATTCCCTCTCGTCAAACTGGCCTCCGTCGGTGTCGGAGAATGTGTTTGGTCTTGGCTGCCGGCCTCAGCTGGAACCAGTCCGCTCAGAGTCTGCGTGACAGGATGCGGGCGTAACGCACATTCAGCGCTGTTAGCTAATGCAAACGTCAATCAGTATTTGCAACAAGTCCCTCTCTGGCTTTGTGTTTTAACAGGGAACACGTAAATATGCGGAAGCAAATAGCACTTAGATATAAGAACTTTAAGGCTGCTCCTAAAGGTCCGGTCTGGACAAATTGGGACTCATGTTGACCAAGCAGCGGAATTCAGAAACCTGCCCCATCAACATCGAGCACTCGGCGGGCGGTCCGTGTTCTGAGCTGTCAGTGCAAGACTCCGGCAAGATGAGAGGAGTTGGACTCTGTTTTACATCGACGATGCTCGGCTGAAGATGAAACCATAGTATCGTCTTGTTGCTGCTTGTTTATTTTCGCCCAGGTGCAAATTCAAAAAATGCACTGCTGAATGTTCTGTGTGTATGTATATAAATACCTGTAAGAAATACTTAAAATTTTTAGATATCTTAGCGTTCACTTCCTTATTACATAAAAGTTTTGGGAAACTGTATCAGATCCTGCTCGTCCTGATTAGTTCGTCGTCCCGGGTGATATTATTATACGGGGGAGAGAGGAGTGAAACAGTTTAGTGACCAAATAAGTTGTGGGAAACGAATTTAAGTTAATTTTTTGACTTTTGAATAAACAACAGGAAATGATTTAGTTAACTTTCGATCAATAAACTGAACTGAAAGATCTCAGATCACTTTTTCCTTTTAGTGGTGAGACGCAAACCTCCGGAAACAAAAAATGTCCAGAGAAGAGTTAAATGATCCCAGAAGGTGAAACCAACAGAAAGCCCAGCTTGTGCTGATGAACTGAGACGCAGCCGAAGGTCAGCGGCTGTTAGGATCAGCTGGACTGAGCGCGTGCAGCAGACACATCAGGAAAAACAAAAGGCTGCTCTTCTCTTTCCTTCAGTGTGTTGCTTGCGTGTTTGGCTGCAAGAAAAACTGGACAAGTAGTCATTTTTTGCGGCGATCTGTTAACAAAAAGTATCGAGTGAAGTTCTGGTTTGACTGGAGACGTTTCGGTTCTACTGGCTGTTTCGGTCGATACCATAAAGGTCGTTCTGTCTTATGATTAAGGGAATTTAATTTAAATGTTACCATATTTCAATACAGATTTAATTCTCTTAAGCTTTGAGTGTGTGGCATGAAGGGACTAAAACTTTCTTTTCATCATTTAACCTTGTGTTGTATAACGAGTAAGAAACAACCTCGTTCGTGTTTCAGCAGCAAAGAAGGTGCTCCGACTCTTTCAGTGGGAACGGACACCTGCTGGACTCTGACGTTCTTACAGATGTCAGTGTGATTATGAATTGAATTTTCCTGTGTCGCTCTCAGAGAGGGGGGAGGCCCCAACATAGTGTCAGGCCCCTGGTTTGTTTCCTTTGGAGCCCTGGAAGTCTTAACGGGGATCCAAACAAAGATGGCTGTCTGATCAGCGTTTGTTGTTGCTCCTGCAGTCCTGTGTCCCCTGCTCTGTAAGAACGGAGGCGTCTGCCTGCAGAAGGACCGCTGTCTCTGCCCGCCAAACTTCACCGGGAAGTTCTGCCAGATCCCCGTCGCCGTCGCCGCCGAAACGTCGCCCTCCTCCACCAATGAGATCGTCAAGCCCGCGCTGTTCTCCGCCATGCCGGCCAATCAGGAGCTGAGCCAGTCCGAGTTCCTCCTGCCGCTGGGACAGAACGAGGAGACGGCCAGGTCTGGAGGTGAGTCTGACCTCTGACCTTTGACACAAACGGGTAACAAACGTCTTCTTTTCCTGGACCGGGTCACTTCCTGGAGGCTGTGCTAGTCTGCTCAGAGGTGCAGGGTGGTGGACAGTCTTTATGCTAAGCTAATTTGCGGCTTCTCGTAGCTTCATGTTTAATGTACAGACATGAGTCGGGTCAGTCGGGATTCTGAAGGGTCATTTGTTGCTCTTGTGAGCTAAACAGAACTTTTTGTGTGCAGATCCCGGGCTCTCCCTGGTGAAGGTCAGAGTGCAGCACCCCCCTGAGGCCAGCGTGAAGATCCACCAGGTGCTGAAGGTAAAAACAAACACCCAACCCGTCCTGCGGATGCTCTCCTCTTCCTCCTCCTCGGGGTCGGCAGGCGCTCCGGCTCCAGCAGGTGTAGACGTCCAGGCCCAGACGCTGAAGGGGGACGGCGCCTTCGCCCAGCAGTCCGGGTTCAAGTACTGCTTCAGAGAGGTGAAAGACGGACAGGTAAGAAGAACTATTACATACACTTCTTCTTCTCCGTTAGGAAAGCAGGAGTCCTTCCAGCGCCCCCTAGAGGCTGCACTGCCCTACAATCATCACGGTACGGTTTAGACCTGCTCTTTATGAAAAGCGCTCAGAGATAACTGCTGTTGTGATTTGGAGCTATAGAAATAAGATTGAATTGTAAAGACTGTTAATTACACACACAGTAGCGTGCACTCCAGACGACTCAAGCACGCTCTACCTGCGTGAGCTCACTGTGAGCTGAGATCAATGACTGATCTCGCAGCATTTGCAAAGAAAAATGCCGCAAGACCAGATAGTGCGGCTCCAGCTGGAGACCTGCGCGGGACTGTTGTCTTGATCCATGCAGAGTAAAAAAAGGACACAAATGTTTGGGCTTCGCTAAACGCCCGTGTGACGGAGTCAGGCCTGTGAAGTACGTCTGGTGAGCAGTCGCACGTGCTGTTCTTCTTTTCAGCTTCGTTTGTTGACTCCATCTTATCAGCGCTACTGCAGGACCCGCAGTATATTCTGTAACCCGCAGCAGAGTTTAAACCGTCCGCTCCCAATGCAGCTCTCTAGTTCCACCTTTGTGCTCCCGCGAGGTTTTAATGTCACGTGGCATGGTGACGTTTTGCAGCGCTGGCGAAAGTCGGACACAATTTCTGTCCAGCATGCATCACAGTGAGTCAGCACTGCGCAGCGCCGCATGACGTCAGTGTGCTGGTACAACCTCTAAATACGATTCTGAACCTGAAAATGATACCTGGCAGATAAATCGCATTTAGATTTTTCCCCCCTGTTTTCCTTTAACTGTCTGTTAATCCGCCAGTGTCTCCGACTCATCGTGTTCCTGAGTCACAGTAAAGACTTTTCTTCTTGTAGCCAAATGTTCAGGCAGCTGCGACCTGCATCAAAACAACATAATACAGTCGATTTTAGCTCGCTGCGCAGCTCCGACTTCCTTCAGCGCCACCGTGAGGCTCACATTGATGTTTTTAAACGAAACGCCTCAACAGCTGTTGGAAACGAACGCTCAAACGTGGTGAAACACCAGCTGAAACTCAGCACGTTAGCGGTTAGCCCAAAGTACCTGCAGTTTTATTTGTGCTCTCTGTATGAACGCCGTCACTTCCTCTGTATGAACAGGTTGTTGATGTGTGTGTGTGCAGTGCAGCGCTCCTCTGCCTGGTCTGAGGAGCAGGGAAATGTGCTGCAGAGGCATCGGGAAGGCCTGGGGGATCACGGACTGCGTCCTCTGCCCTGACAACACAGGTACAAACACACACACACCTGGAAGTACAGTACCCGAGTAAAGCCTCGTTCACGCCGCACCAGTTTTAGCCCGATTTGCCGCTCGGCGAGCGTCAGGCTGTGATCGGGGGTGAGTCAGCGGCTGATCGGCGGTCGCCAGTCGTTATGCGTGAACTACTCAACGACGCATCAAAACGGCTCCCCGACACATCACTGCCACATCGCCGACGCCAGCCAGATATCTAGCACGCCAAGTATCCGGAGGAGTCGGCCGACTCGACATCCACATCCAGCCAATGAGAGCAGGCGGCTACTCTTTACTCCCCTCTCGCTCTCTCTGTAGCTCAGACGATCCCTGCTACCTGCGTGTGCTGATCCAGTGTATGACTGCGGCCCGCCACAGTTTCAAAATGACCATGACGCCCAAATTACAGACCTCTAACGTTGTGTTTTGTGGGCGCTGCTGTGAGCTCGCACGCTCAGAGACTTTGGCCTCCGACTCGAGATAACCACTTTTCTTTTGAGGTAACTACGGTAACGGTCAGTTTCTGTCTCTCGTCTGTAAGAAGGCGATTAAGCAGCCGCACCTAAATTTGGAGTGCACACGTATTCAAGCCTTTATGGTAAATCCACTGAAGCGGCCCAGAGCGAGCCGACGGGCAGGTTAGAGACTTTATCCTCTCAGTTTGTCTCTTTCCAAAGACAAGTGTTGCAGGATGGAAATGAGATTAATTGGATTATATTCACAGAAAGTGTAAAACATGTTACATGCGTCCATTAAAAGAAATTATTTATTTTCTATTCTTTGATTCAGGGTTTTTGCCGACTGTTGTTGCTGTTTCGTCCCCATTTCTAGCTCCACACTGGCTTTATGATCACAGCATTGTTCTTCATAGACAGCCTCTTAATTTTGCACCAATTTAATGCATTTAACTTTAAAATGTACAAAATGTTCTTCCGGGGGGGCCTGAGAGGGTCCGAGGCCCCCCCCACCACAGCCTCTTCAAATCCTGTGGGAAACACTGAATCCATCTTTCACCCAGATTCTTTGTCTTTATAATAACAAGTAGCTGTTTTCGTGTGCAGGATCGCTCGTTTCCCGTTTCACATTTCCCGTGTGTTTTCTTGACTAAACGCGGTTTGGAGACCGGCGTCGGGTGACAGAGTTGTTGTCAGCTCGTGTAGCGTTTGTGACCCCCTGTCACCGATCAGTCGTGGAGCGCGAACGGCGCTGAAGGTCGTGTGGTCTGCACGAGCCTTAAATGCACTTTCAACCACTGACTTTCATCCAAAGTCGAGTTTGTTCGGTGTTTGTTGTGGACTGTTTTCCAAAAACATCACCGTGATATGGATGCTGAGAGATTTGACCAAAACTAACTGCTGCCAAACTCACGCGCACGCCTTTTAAAGTGAAATTAAATTTTTTCTCTCTCTCTTTCTGCGAAGGTCGGATTCTTTATGAAATATTCCTCCGGGAGCTGCTTATATAACTGCCTGACATGATCACACACAGAGTCAGAAGTGATGTCCATGTTGTTGCAGAGCTGACTAACAGCAAAGGAATGCTGCTCTGTGGGACTGTAGGCCTTTAACACACACACAACATCTGCACGTGTGTGTGTGCACACAGGAAGTCGTGTTAGCTCACTAACTGGCGTCCGACTCAAGAATGATGCAATTCACCTTTAAAAAATAAAAAGAATTTAAGAGAAATTGAGTCTGGTTTGATTCTCGATTTTCAGAATTGATTAGTTTGTTTCGAACGGACCGGAGGGGTTTGCGATATTGACAATAATTATAAGATATTTTCTTTGGGATCCTGTCGATAATTAGATGATCGGCGTCCCACGGCGTGAGAAACAGTAAGACTGCAGCTTCTCGAGACTAAAGCGGCGCTCCCGTGTGTTTCTTTCTTGACCGCTTGTGAAGGGGCGACAGGGTTAGCCCTGAAGCTAACATCAGCTGCTGTCTTTATTCTGTCCTCCTCATCAGTGTAGCTGTGTTGGAACCTCGCCTGGTTCTTCATATTCCCCGCGATGGTTAGTTTGTGCACTTTTGTTAACTCTTACTTCTTTCCCTACTTGGTATTCACCCCATTGATGCCAGTGTTTCCTCTAGGATGGAGTTGTAGCAGCGGAGGTGAAGCGAAATTTCTCTTTGTGTGCGTAGTGCTGGATGGAAAACCCCGACACAACTTGTCTCAGCAGTATGGCTCCTGTGTCCATGAACATGTGATGCACCTTGGAACAGTTAAAATTTCAGTGTTTTCCCAAAGGCTGTTTTAAGTTTCAAGTTTTCCAATGCAAAATATGTAATTTAATGTCATTGGGCCCTTATTTTCACCATGTCTCTGAACAAATAGTTGGAAAAGCTGGAGCAGATGATAAATAACAGCCAAAGATCAGCCTGCTGGAGGAACTCCAACCTTTAGATCTGGAGAAAGTAATCTGGTTGGTTCTGTTGCTCCTCAGTGATTTTACAGTGATGGCTCAGCATTTTTTGGGCATCGTCCCCTGAAACCCTGTTAATATGACCTCAGAATCTTGTTTTTGCCTTTTGTGTCTTCATTTTACAGCTTCTGACATTTATCTGTAGACATTAATATAAAAAATAGGCAAAATGAGAAACCTCCTCCCTTCTGAGGTGCATTTTATTTGCACATTAAAATCCAGACAGAAACGTCTTCTCATCAGCTTAAAAGGACGAGTTTGCATCACTAATTAGCTTCACTGACCTCCTCCAGTCACCGCTGCAGGCTGCACCAGTTTACTCTGTTTGGACCTGATGTTCTCAACATTACAGCTTCCAGTTACTTTCTACAAATTGAGCTAATGTTCAGTCACAGAGCAGCTCTGTAGCTGCTGTAGAAGCTGCTCAGCTGCAGGCTGAAGGGGAGATGTTCGCTAACTTGGTGCTAACAGGCTTCTCTTTTCCAGCAGCTGGGAAACAACAGACTTTTCTTGATCTTGAGAAGCCGACACTCTGTAACAGACGCCGGACATTTACTGCCAGAATATTTTCCTCCGCTCGCGTTCACGTCACTTTCTGCCCCTCGGACCATCAAACACTCGCTGCTCACCTCCTGATTCAGAGTTACGCTGCTGTTATAACAGCATCTGTCACGTAGACATCCTTTGATGACCGAGCGATGAGTGTTACCGTGCTCGCACAGTGTCTGAGTGAAAATGTTGACCAATCATGTGCTTTGATTCACTCTAATAAAAAGACAAGAAGTGAATTCTGGTATTAAAGTGTGTTTTATTTATTTTGCTGCCACATGATTGGCTGATTAGATATTTACATAAACAAGCTGGTGTACCTAATAAAAAGGCCACTGAGTGTAGTTATCCCCCCCCAAACTAGGCTTTGTGATCAGATTGTTAGTAATCAATTGTCTGCTATCAATCATCATCAGGTCAAAGCAACCGTAGCTGCCCTGCTGGTTTCGAGGGAGCCAATGGAACGCAGTGTGTCGGTGAGTGTCACACACGCACAAACACACAGGAAGTAGGTAAAAGGTAACAGTCAGGTGTTTTGGGTGCAGCTGATGTCCACCGACGAGTCGCCATCTTGGTTTTTTGGAACCGGACGTGACCGCATGTGACAATAAAACAAAACGTACCTTAAGCCCTGGACATACTTGCTTTTAACTACGCGTTCGCGCACGCCAGACGGCTGCCACGCGTGTCCTGCGTTGCTTTGGAGCGTAGGTTCTGCACGTCCCCAGGAATTAACGCCGCACGCCCGCGAGATGCAGTTCAGCACATGAGCGTGGGGGCAGTACGGCGATCTGACCTGCAGGTCAGCAGCAAGCTGGTGGTTTCAGGTTTAATCCTCAAGGTACACGCTAAGGATGCAGCAAGTATGTGAACAAACAGCGACGCCTGTTGAAAAGCGAGTATATCCAGAGCTTTACCTGAAAAATGAGCAGCCGACTCCTGATAAACTTTTTCTGGTTAAATGTACACAGAGCAGCGGCTACGAGTCGCCTCTATCCAAGGAGCTACAAGGTGACTGACAGGTCGCCATGGTAGCAGCTTGTCAATCAGCTTGTAGCCCCGCCCTAAAGCCTCCCCTGCTTCCTGGTCTCTGTTCCTCTAAATGGGACCATAATTTACTAAATGAACATCATGCTGTGTTGAAGAAGACTTGAAACTAGCGACTGAGACCAGAAACTCATCAGGAAAGTGTTTACTGAGGGAATAAATCAGCTGACAAGTAGAGACATTTTCTCACAGACTTCATTACAATCATGCTTCAGCGACGTCTTGTTTATACAGGAAGCGTTTCAGCTCCAATACAGATAAACTTCCCATTTCAACAGTCTAGCCCAGGGGTCGGCAAATACCGTAAGTCTGACATCAGGCCACATTTTTTTCAAGTTGTTCATGGCGGGCCAGAACATTATTTCAGTCAAATTATTTCAAACCCTTGTTGTGCACGTTTAGCTCAGTGGGTAGAGTGCAGGACTCCCGTTGGAGGAGTTGATGATGATCGATCCCAAAATCCTGCGGCCTTTTTTTTGTCCCTTGTTGGACAAATTGATCAGCCTATAAGGACACTTTTTCACATGCTCGCAACAAAGCATGTGCTGCAATGTGTGCGTGTTTGATCCGCATTGATAAACCTTCAGGGGAATCCAATCTCCCGTTTACAGACGGCGTTTTCAGAGGTGTGTCAAGCCAGAGACTCTTTTAAATGTCCTTCACAAATTTTAGTAAAAGCTCTCAATAAACTCAACTTGAAGCATTGCTTCAAAAAACGTTCTCGCACTTTTATTTTGGAGGCACAATCACGTAAGAGGAAGTGATTGTGTGCAGACCAGTAACTGCTGTCATGACTGAGCTCTATTTCAGCACCAGCCGCTATCAATTTATTTATTTTCTATTTGTCTGCTATCAAAGCAACCTGGCTGTGGGCCAGATATTATTGCCTGGCGGGCCGGTTCTGGCCCGCGGGCCGCCTGTTGCCGCCCGCTGGTCTAGAAGCATGACACTGTGGATCACTACTAAATGTGTGAGTGTGTTTATATTACACACAAACACTGAAATCTTCAGATTTATAAAGCTGTGTGTTCGCTGCTTCTGTTCTAAACATTTTACCTCCACAGCGAGACGGACGTAGAAACGACTTAAACAGCCGTTTGCATGACGAAGAGCAGCAGAGAAGGGCAGTGTGTGTTAATGTGTGTGTTTTTAATGTGTGTGTGTAGATGTGAATGAGTGCCTCCAGCCGGGGCTGTGTGAGAACGGGATCTGTGTGAACACCAGGGGGAGCTATAGCTGTGTCTGTAGGGCGGGGTTCATCCTCGACGCCACACATGCAATCTGTATCTGTAAGTAACACACACACACTCACACACAGCCGCCGGCTTGGGAATGAAATCAGGAATAACGCAGACTCCCGGTCAGGACTTCCTGAATCCATCTGAGCTCTTGTGTTGTCGGTCTTTGCACGGATCCCTTAAACTGAAGATAGAAGTTTATTTATTTAGAAAAAGAGACTATGAAATAAGATAAGGAGCAGATTTAGCCATACAGGATAATCTTCATCTGCAGTCCCTGTCAGGTTGATCATCAGAAAACATTAAAAGAAAACAAACACATAAGCACAAACAACAGAGCGCCTAAGCCCAACCCCCATCCGGAGAGCCGCCATGGGACCTGCTTTTGGAAAAACACATGTACGGTCGTCAACGTTGAGAGACAACTAATGTTTGTACACCAACAGTTTCCTCTTTCATGGTGAATCATCAAACTTCAACTGCACGCCACGGACACACCTTTCAACGAAAAGGCACAGATAGCACAACTTCTCATCCTCAATGGCTTTAGACTGCACAGCAAAAATTTGAAGCCGATTGGATTAATACTGTAGGAGGAGTTTGTTAAAGTACAGAACCTGTAAATGGCCAAAAATGACCCTTTCGGGCACTGCTTCCAGAGGCTTTTTTGTAGGTCAGGACATGATATATCTGCCACTGAAATTTCATACATCTCGTAGAAATGTGTCCTGGGGGCTAAGGAGACGCGCCCACGCATGAAAACCATAAGACACTTTTTTTTTGACATGTTTTCGAGCACATTTGTAGAAAGATGAAGAAGAAAACGATTTCCTTCAGTTTCCACAGGGTCCTTGCATGTTTTCACAACATCTTTTATTAGACCCTCCCTGCCTGGTGGGTCATGGAGGGTGTAATGTTGATGTGTAAAACAGTGCAGTGGCCCTTTAATATACAGGGCGAGGCTCGCCAGCAGAAGTTCACGAAGCATTTTGAACAACTCTGAAGGTCAACGGGCGTCTTTGTTAGAAATCAGTGGATCTCGTTGTTCCGCTGGACGTCAGTGGGTTCTTTTGTTCCGTTAGAAGTGAGAAGAAGTCTTTGTTCTGCTTAAAACCAGTGGAATCTGGGTGAAGTCTGGTGCTCAGATGGGTTTTGTGAAGCCTGACGGGAGCTCTGCTTATTCTGACCAGCATTCGAGGAGGAGGAGGAGGAGGAGGAGGAGGAGGAGGAGGAGGAGGAGGAGGACAGGTGGGTCTGCTGCAGGATGCTGGTCAGCCAATGACAACGTTCTAATCAAAGCTGATTTATTGAACCTGACGTCTCTCTGTTGCTTCCTGAAATGCTCGTGGAGGGGTCAGTTTTATGTATTTGTGTGTGTGTTTGGTCGTCGATGGTCAGCTGTGTTTTTGTGTTTCCTGCAGAGTGAAATACTCTTTGCTGTTGTTTTACTTTCCTTCCAGTCCTGCCTCCCAGAAATTACAAACTTTACACTCTTTTCGCTTGATAAATATATAAAACTGGGAAAAAATGTAAATGTTTATCAAAGTAAACACCCTGACTTGAGCTTTAAGTAACTGTTGACTTTATTGAAGGAAAACAGGGAATCTATATCAGATACGTTCTGTAAGTGCTCTGACTAAAAGACTCCGTGGTTGTTTAAAGCGAGACGCCACAGTCCAAAGTTATGATTTTGCTTCATTCTCTCAATTTTCAGATTTCAAGTTATTTTGCAACTATTATTAACAGACTTTCATAAAATGTACAAAACAATGTTGAATAATATATTTAAACATTATTAGTAATTGACTATTTTATACCAAGGCTGTTAACTGCAGATTGAGTAAATTTCATCTTTGTTAGTATTTCACATGTGAAAGTTCAGCTGGTCTTTTTAAACTCTCCGTATTGAATCGTATATGATTTGAACTTTTTTTTCTAGAACACAATGTTAGCTATCACATACTGTAAATCTAAGAGATGTGTTCATGTGACAAACAGTAATTTTATGCTAATCTTTAACAGCTGTTTTCCTGTTCGCCAAGTTATTTCCCTCGCCCTTGAATGGCGTCATTTTTACACGCTGTTTCTGAGGTCTTATTAGAAGACATTAACAGTTTGCTTTAAATATCTCTTATTCTTCTCATTTTTTTTTTTTTTACATTATATTTACATTTATTCATTTAGCTGACGCTTTTATCCAAAGCGACTTATAATTGCTATAGTATCTCACAAAAGTGAGTACACCCCTAACTGTTGCCAGCGGTTTAGACATTAACGGCTGTGTGATGTGTTATTTTGAGGGGACAGCAGATTTACACTGTTCCACAAGCTGCACGCTCACTACTTTACATTGTTATATGAGCTGCACGCTCACTACTTTACACTGTTCTACAAGCTGCACGCTCACTACTTTACATTGTTATATGAGCTGCACGCTCACTACTTTACACTGTTCTACAAGCTGCACGCTCACTACTTTACACTGTTATATGAGCTGCACGCTCACTACTTTACACTGTTCTACAAGCTGCACGCTCACTACTTTACACTGTTCTACAAGCTGCACGCTCACTACTTTACACTGTTCTACAAGCTGCACGCTCACTACTTTACACTGTTATATGAGCTGCACGCTCACTACTTTACACTGTTATACGAGCTGCACGCTCACTACTTTACACTGTTATACGAGCTGCACGCTCACTACTTTACACTGTTCTACAAGCTGCACGCTCACTACTTTACACTGTTCTACAAGCTGCACGCTCACTACTTTACACTGTTATACAAGCTGTACGCTCACTACTTTACACTGTTATACAAGCTGCACGCTCACTACTTTACACTGTTACACAAGCTGCACGCTCACTACTTTACACTGTTATACAAGCTGCACGCTCACTACTTTACACTGTTACACAAGCTGCACGCTCACTACTTTACACTGTTATACAAGCTGTACGCTCACTACTTTACACTGTTATACAAGCTGCACGCTCACTACTTTACACTGTTATACAAGCTGCACGCTCACTACTTTACACTGTTACACAAGCTGCACGCTCACTACTTTACACTGTTATACAAGCTGTACGCTCACTATTTTACACTGTTATACAAGCTGTACGCTCACTACTTTACACTGTTATACAAGCTGTACGCTCACTACTTTACACTGTTATACAAGCTGTACGCTCACTACTTTACACTGTTATACAAGCTGTACGCTCACTATTTTACACTGTTATACAAGCTGCACGCTCACTACTTTACACTGTTACACAAGCTGCACGCTCACTACTTTACACTGTTATACAAGCTGTACGCTCACTATTTTACACTGTTATACAAGCTGTACGCTCACTACTTTACACTGTTATACAAGCTGTACGCTCACTACTTTACACTGTTATACAAGCTGTACGCTCACTACTTTACACTGTTATACAAGCTGTACGCTCACTACTTTACACTGTTATACAAGCTGTACGCTCACTATTTTACACTGTTATACAAGCTGTACGCTCACTACTTTACACTGTTATACAAGCTGCACGCTCACTACTTTACACTGTTATACAAGCTGTACGCTCACTATTTTACACTGTTATACAAGCTGTACGCTCACTACTTTACACTGTTATACAAACTGCACGCTCACTACTTTACACTGTTCTACAAGCTGCACGCTCACTACTTTACACTGTTATACAAGCTGCACGCTCACTACTTTACACTGTTACACAAGCTGCACGCTCACTACTTTACACTGTTATACAAGCTGTACGCTCACTACTTTACACTGTTATACAAGCTGTACGCTCACTACTTTACACTGTTATACAAGCTGTACGCTCACTACTTTACACTGTTATACAAGCTGTACGCTCACTACTTTACACTGTTATACAAGCTGTACGCTCACTACTTTACACTGTTATACAAGCTGTACGCTCACTACTTTACACTGTTATACAAGCTGTACGCTCACTACTTTACACTGTTCTACAAGCTGTACGCTCACTACTTTACACTGTTCTACAAGCTGCACTACTTTACACTGTTCTACAAGCTGCACTACTTTACACTGTTACACAAGCTGCACTACTTTACACTGTTATACAAGCTGCACTACTTTACACTGTTCTACAAGCTGCACGCTCACTACTTTACACTGTTCTACAAGCTGCACGCTCACTACTTTACACTGTTATACAAGCTGCACTACTTTACACTGTTATACAAGCTATACGCTCACTACTTTACACTGTTCTACAAGCTGTACGCTCACTACTTTACACTGTTCTACAAGCTGTACGCTCACTACTTTACACTGTTCTACAAGCTGCACGCTCACTACTTTACACTGTTATACAAGCTGTACGCTCACTACTTTACACTGGAGCAAAGGGTCAAAGGGTTCTTCAGTGTCGTCACATGAAAAGATGTGAGGGGTGGACTCACTTTGGTGAGATTCTGTATATCAGAGGTCACACGCCTCTGGAGCAACAAGGGGTTAAGTGTCTTGCTCAGAGACACATTGGAGAATGTCGTAGTGTAGAATTGAACCCGGGTCTCTTACACCAAAGGCATGGGAGGAAATACCTCATTCGTGTATTAAAAAATAAAAAAACCAAAGTTGTAATTTTAAAAAAAGTGTCTTTATTTATATTAGCTTGTAAAGTCTCAACGTGATCTGTATAAAGTTGAGAAAATTTGACTGTGGCGTCTCGCCTTAAGCTGTTCATTGGGACTAACTAGCTGGACGTGTACCAGTGTGACATTTTTCCTGTGATTGGTACCAGATTAAATGGTTATATCCAGGAAATAATTGTGAAATTTAAGGACCGATAAAATCCCAAAAAATTCCTAATGTGTAAAAAAAAAAAAAAACAATTTGTACTTCCTGTTGCAGATTTGCTGAATATAAATGTAATTTCTAGGAGATGGAGTTGCTCCGTCCATCTGTCCATCACGCCAGGCTGACCAGAGTTAACTTGTGCTGCTAACGTTGTCTTGGCTGTTTGTCTGACTGTCTTCTGGTTGGTAAATACCGATCAGCAGTCTTTCATCTATTAAAGAACCCCCAGTGGTTTAACTTCTCATCTTGCTGCAGTGATGTAGAAGTGTACGCCAGGGTGTGTCACTAAACTCTGACATCACTGTTGGGTGTGGTCAGGTGCTATGTGTGTTATTGGAAATTCAGTAAACCACCAACATAAAATTTAATAGACGGGTTTCTTGTATACAAACACTGCTGGATGCGCAGCCAGGGGGAAACAGTCAATAGTCAACCGCTGAAACGTAGATTACGCATTGTTTGAATATTAACATATCCGCACGGCCGCGCTGCAGGTCTGCGAAGCCGGACCTTGTGTCGTTTAAGTCAGCAGCTCGCTAAAAGGCTAACGGAAGAACGAGGGAGTGAGGCGTTCTCTCCACAGCTGGAAGTGCTGCCATCAGGCCGAACTTAGCTGTGTCGCACTCAGAGGTGCAAAGAATCGGTCTTCCGTTGTAAACGTTGCGCGACCAGCAAAAAGCTTTCAACCGTGAACAATTTTGTATTGAAGCATCTGCTAAGAAACGTGAAACTTGGCCTGTAGAGAGAAACTCCGGCTGCTGACGTTGCTGCCAGTGAAGCCTCCACTCGGCTGGACGGAGCGGCGTTAATCAGTGTGTTGTGTTTTGTAAAAGCACTGAATACTTCTCTTATAAATACATGTGCAAAACAGGAACGTGACGGTCGAGACGCTTGCTTGATTTTTTTAAATCTCAGTGGCGTTAAAAACGTAATGCTTTGTAAAAATCCTCCTCATTGTTGCTGTTATGAGGACGCAATCAGTTTAAAAAGTCAGGAGGGCCCTGCTTTGTTTTTTATTACTTTTAAACAGCCTGTCTGATGCAGCATCCTCTGAGAGGCTGCAGTGTTTCAGTCCGGCTGCTTGTTGCCTCCTCAGGTTCATTATTGTTCCAGTAAAGTGGATTCATTTCTAAAACGCGCTGCTGAACAGGTTTCTGTCACTTTTAAGGACGGAGGTGGAAAGTAATTTTAACAGAACGAGTAACGTGACTATTTTGTTTTAATACCCAGTAATAAGTAAAGTAATAGGGGAGAGCAGGGACGATTGAAAAGCGACACGAATGAAATTAAGCGATTTTCTCTGAGCCCATAAAAAGTCTGAAATGTCAAACTTCCTCAGAACATACGGTGCTTTTTAAATGAGTAAAAAGTAAGTCATTACAATTTCTGAGTAATTTGCCCAACACTGCAGCTACATGTGCCGTTTAAACCGATGCTCTGCGATGACAGAGTTCTGCTTTCTGACCCCTGGTTGCATCTCGGTGATGACGTTGCACAGAAACCCGTCCATAGATCTTGGGCTGCATTTTAAATATCACTAAACATGAACTGATTTACTTTGTAAACAACACAAAACTTCATTCACAGTTTAGCCGTTTTTACAAATTAAAGTTATAACAGACCGTCAGCGATGCCTTTTTTTTATATCCCATCCAATCGTCTTATTCAGTGTAAATTAAAATATTGGAATTAATGCAGCTTTTACAATTCTTACCTTTTATATTGCAGTTACTGCTGGTAGAGCAACAACCTTTCAGTGTAATTTAAAAATAAGAGGTTTTCCAAACACGGTGGCAAAATTGGAACTAGAGCTAAAGCAAAGGTTCCGACTTCTGAAATGTGAATGTGTTGCTGGTTTTCTTTTTCATAAAAGACTGAATTTAATTTTCGGGCTGTTGGCCGGATAAATCCACACAGACGTCAATGAAAAAATGGGCTGTATTTTCATTTAACTTTTTATAAACCAAACCATTAATTGATCAAGCCATAATTTGAACTGCGTATGTACTGCGCAGTACACACATACTTATTTTAGCTCAGTCAAACTCACATATTCAAAAGCTCTGTCTCTGTTTCCATTATAGTATTGATCAGTGTTTTGATTGATGCCAAATCAAAATGGATATCCAGGCCGCTAAGTGCTGCATTTTAAAGTGACGTTTAAGGAGTTTAAATGTGCGATCTTGTGTGCCGCCCACAAGTTTGGCGATATTTGATAATTCTGACTAATATCGTTCCGATTCTTCAGGTTCTCTTTGTAGCCGTTAATGTTTCTGATCCTTGTTCTTTAGAGCAGCGGTTCCCAAACTTTTTAGGCAACGCACCCCCTTCTACAGCTTTACCGGGTTGCTGCACCCCCCCCCCCCCAGCGCTGCTTATATAATATAATATCATTTATTTTTTTACTTATGTATTTGCTCAATGTCCCACACACAGCACTATCTGATTGGTTACACGTCGCGAGCAGCGGAGCTGTGTGTTGAAGGGAAGGCAGCCGATATTACTGAAGGTGCAATAAACATCAAAATCTGATGATCTGTTTCTATGATGACGAGCAGCGCAATGTTCCTGTTACACCAGAGTCGCTCTGCCCTTATACCCACTCACTGCGCTTACACACAGCATGCATCTGTCTTCTCTGTATTTTCACTGATGTAAAGTTAGATATTTACTACTTTAAAAAGTACCAGCGGCAGTAAAACCTTTTCTCAGACTGTGATATTAAACTTCCCACATTTCACTTGCGTGCCGAACCGTGCAGAGGGAGGCGGGGTTATGTTTTTAGTTTTAAATAAAATTTACAAAGGAAAGTTTTCAATTCAAGTTTTTGTCTCATGAAAAATTCCACAAAAAAATAATTGTTGTAGTTGTTGCACTACTACACCACACTTTGGGAATCGCTGCTTCAGAGGGACCCTTGGTTCTTAAGAGAACTCCTAACAGGACATGTTTGGGAAATGTCTACATAAAAACAGAAAGCTACACATGGCACCTTCACTTTATGCTCCAAGGAACTTCATGGACAAGGTCTCTGTTTCCTGTTCTTGCCTCATTTCTTCTCATATCCAATCAAAATCACAGGTGGCTGTGATGTCAGAGCTTGCTTGATTTGGCCGTGCCGTGTTGACTTTAGCCTGAATGCACCTGGAAGCAGCATGTTACCGATTCTGCATGCAGGGTTCTGCCGGTGCCTCAGCTCTGACTCCCAGACCAGCTCTAGGATTTGTAACTCTGACCTCCTGTGTGTCCTCCTCAGCCCAGAGTGTGATCTCACAGGAGAAGGGTCAGTGTCACCGGGTCCTGGGTCCGGGCCGGGGTCCGGCCTCCTGCTCCCTGCCCATCCTCAGGAACATCACCAAGCAGATCTGCTGCTGCAGCCGCGTCGGCAAAGCCTGGGGACCCGACTGTCAGAGATGTCCCTACTTCGGTTCAGGTTGGTTACCAGGGAATTGTACGCTATATTCTGGCTGGTAAGCTAAGATTTTAAAGTGGTCGCAGCCTTCTTATTCATCAGAACGTTTACATGCCGACACTCCTGTCTAAGCGCTCAGGTCGTCCAATAAATAATAAATAAATAAAGTCGTAATAGTACGAGAATAAAGTCGTAATAGTACAAAGTCGTAATAGTACGAGAATAAAGTCGTAATAGTAAAAAGTCGTAATAGTACGAGAATAAAGTCGTAATAGTAAAAAGTCGTAATAGTACGAGAATAAAGTCGTAATAGTATAAAGTCGTAATAGTACGAGAATAAAGTCGTAATAGTATAAAGTCGTAATAGTACGAGAATAAAGTCGTAATAGTACAAAGTCGTAATAGTACGAGAATAAAGTCGTAATAGTACGAGAATAAAGTCGTATTAGTACAAAGTCATAATAGTACGAGAATAAAGTCGTAATAGTACAAGAATAAAGTCGTATTAGTACAAAGTCATAATAGTACGAGAATAAAGTCGTAATAGTACAAAGTCGTAATAGTACGAGAATAAAGTCGTAATAGTAAAAAGTCGTAATAGTACGAGAATAAAGTCATAATATTACGAGAATAAAGTCATAATAGTACGAGAATAAAGTCATAATAGTATAAAGTCATAATATTACGAGAATAAAGTCGTAATAGTACAAGAATAAAGTCATAATAGTATAAAGTCATAATATTACGAGAATAAAGTCGTAATAGTACAAAGTCGTAATAGTACGAGAATAAAGTCGTATTAGTACAAAGTCATAATAGTACGAGAATAAAGTCGTATTAGTACAAAGTCGTAATAGTACGAGAATAAAGTCGTAATAGTACGAGAATAAAGTCGTAATAGTACGAGAATAAAGTCATAATAGTATAAAGTCATAATATTACGAGAATAAAGTCGTAATAGTACAAGAATAAAGTCATAATAGTACAAAGTCGTAATAGTACGAGAATAAAGTCGTAATAGTATGAGAATAAAGTCGCAATAGTATAAAGTCATAATATTACGAGAATAAAGTCGTAATAGTATAAAGTCATAATATTACGAGAATAAAGTCGTAATAGTACAAAGTCGTAATAGTACGAGAATAAAGTCGTAATAGTACAAGAATAAAGTTGTAATAGTATAAAGTCATAATATTACGAGAATAAAGTCGTAATAGTATAAAGTCATAATATTACGAGAATAAAGCTACATGTTAGGGGAAATATCAGAAGAGCAGCCTGCCGCCTCCATGCATTAAAAAGAGAAACGTGGAGAACATCTTGTGAAGTTATAAAACGATAATAATTATCGCAATATAATTTTATAATTTTTATAGAAGGTTTATAGATAACGTTTTCTTTCTTGTAATTACGAGAAAAGGTGAGAAAACATTTTTTATTTCTCTGGTGAATGCAATACGAAATATATGACTTGAAAATAGTCTTTTATTCGATTGAAAGTCACAAACCGGCGTTCAATCCCCCACTGTGACCCGTCCACCAATGTGTCCCTGAGCAAGACACTTAACCCCTCGCTGCTGCAGAGGTGTGCGACCTCTGACATGTATAGCAATTGTAAGTCTTGGATAAAAGCGTCAGCTAAATGAATAAATGTCATCAGGCTGCAGTTGTTTAAAGGTCTTAAAGGTGTTGCAGTAGTCCACGCAGGTCTCTTTAAGTCTTGTCTGGACACGAAACCTCGGATTCTGTCTCTCTTGTTTCAGGTGATACCTGTTCAGGAAATGATCTTCTCTCTGTCTCCTTCTCCAGTGGCCTTTAAGGAGATCTGTCCCGCCGGTCCTGGTTACCACTACTCAGCTTCGACCCTGCTGTTCAACCAGAGGCTCACCGAGCAGCTGGGGAGCCGAGGCGCTCCGCTGGTAGTCCAGGGCAACCAGGATAACCAGGGTACGTAATTTAGATCAGAGTCTTAACAAGCTGTGTGTGCTTTTGTCTAAAAGCACCAGTAGACGGAGGATGAATCCTCCCGACTTTGGTGACCCCCTTATTTTTCCATCTAAAGCCACCAGCAGAGTTGAGAGGAGCTGTTTGTGGGCCGCCTGGTTCCTGCAGTAAAACTCCTATTTTTCCTGTCGATGCCTCGGCATGAAACTCTCCTGATGGAACAATAGGTAAAAAAAGGGGTTCACCCTGGACAGGTCGCCAGTCCATCGCAGGGCGAGTCTTTATTTTACCCCCCAAAAAGTTCCTTCTCGGGGGAACAAACTTTCTAGGGCTGGGCGGTATGTCGGAATATGAGCTATACCGATATAATTTCAAAGGAGATATGACATTAGACAACACTGTTTATAGCCATATAGTTTGATATTGAGTTAATTAATGTTTCCGTAAAGTCCTGCCAGCGTTTGCTCCTCTCTCTACATCACCGCGCAGCCGTCTACTCACAAAGTCTCTAACGAGATGCAGGGAGACACAGAGCTGGTCGACGCTGTTAAAGACGTGGGCTGTAAAAAGAAAAGCACGGTTCAGTCAGCGTTTCCCACACAAACCTCCCGGGGTTAGGCCACACGCTGTAGCTTTTATCGGAAACACGGTGAATATGATACAAGTCGCGACACTGTGGAGAAGTTGTACTTGTACCTGCTGCCAGGTACTTTTTTCGTATCACCGAAATTTGCAGGCATGCAGCCTCTGAAACGCGCCTGTAGTCTCGTTAGGCTGAAGTTAGGATAAGGTTTTGGCAGAGGGGGAGCTGGACCAGATTTCTGAAGGACATCTGCAGGTCACGTTCATCCCTCCACCCTTCCCCCCTTCAGGTCCTAGTTCTGGGTCCAGTAGCAGTGGAGCCTCCAGGTCTCAGCAGAAACCCTCTTCCTCTGGAGCGACCGAGGCAAGTACCTCCCTGAGTTCTTCTTCAGGTGTCGGATCCAGCGCCGGATCTGCTGGTACCAACACCAGGCCGAGTCCGCCTCAGCCTCCACCCCGCCAGGTCGACTCTCCCTCCTCCAGACCGGTTCAGCCTGGCAGCACCAGCAGCACAGCCACCCAGGACAAACCCCAGACTCCAGGCAGACCCGCTCCATCGTTCACAACACATGCGAGGCCACAGCCTCCGTCCACCGGGAGCCGAGGTAAAAATCTACGAGTAAGCCGGTTTAATCAGTTCGGTTGCACTGTTTGACAAACTTTTTGCTGACTTGATCGCTAACGGCTAACTGATGGAGTCTGTTGCAAAACATGTAGTAGCACAGGAGCCTCTCGACGGACCTGCAGGGTCACATGAACAATGGAGACAGCCTACAGCATCTCAGCAGCCTCGCTAGCTGGTCTACTAACTGTGGTTGTACAAGTGTTTTTACCATCTTCTCCTGCAGTCGCACTGCAAGGGGAAAATAGTTTTTACAGACCAAACTGACCTGAGAAGAAGAATTATTTACAAGATTATTCTTGATCTTTTACGCAAGCATTTCTGATATTTCACAAATTTGTTTCTGTCAAGTTTTCCTCAATATTTTACTATTTTCTTTCTGATATTTAACAAATTTTTTTTTGGATTATTTCCAAATATTTTGCATATATTTTGGGGTTATTTTCTTGATATTATAAGTAGTTTTTACAGATTTTCTTAAGTGATATTTCTTGATATTTTATACAAACACATGATATTTTAAAATTTTCTTTCCGATATATTACTAATATTTTTCTAAATCATTTTATGACATTTTACAGATTTTTCTGGATATTTTCTATATATTTTTCAGATATTTTTGTATGGATATTTTACTAATATTTTAATAACTTATTTTTTCCCGGATTTTTTAAAAGGATATTGTTTTGATGTTTTACTGATATATATATATATATATATATATATATATATATATATATATTTACTTATTATTATTATTATTACTTTTGTCTCATACTTTACCGATTCTTTCCCTGTTTTTTAAAACTTTTTATTAAAAGACATTTTAAATAAGCATTAGGTTAAATGAAAGAAAGGGGCTTTTGACATTATATCCATTATGAAAATTCATGTAAACATAATTTAAGGTTTGCTTGATTTAGAAAACATGTAAATATTATTTGTTTGTGCAGAGTTTTCCCTCAGATTCTGTCTAGGTTCTCCTTCATTAGTACACTTTAAGTACATTTACTAAAGTACTGTACTAACCCAGCAGCAGGGGCGTTTTTAGGATCTTGAAACATTGGGGGCTTAGCACAGCCCATAAAACTTCATATCTTCACATAATAATTGATAATTCCATCTTAAATGTGCAATTGTACTACCGCCTGCCTCGGCCAGGACACTCTTGGAAAAAGAGTTTTCTGGTTTAATAAAGGTTTATAAAACAATTCAAACTCTAAAACTGTAACAGAATATAATGCAGAGCAGCTCTCAGCTTTCAGATTTGTTTCTCCTGTAGATCATCTTTTAATATCATCACTGCTGAATCAACACACAGGCAGGCGTGACTGATTGAGGTAACCTCTTTAAATGTGCATGTGGCACCTTTTTACCTCATCAATAATAAATCAAATCATTTTAATTCAGTTAGAAACTCCTGGACTTTAATAGCTCCTGTGTTTCAGCAGTTTTCTGCATATTCAGAATCTCTCTGACGTTTCCCGAATAAAAGATATTTTGAGGTCAAACAGGATAAATCATCTTAAACTTTGCAATCAATCCGCGGTCCACCTGCGCCGCTCCGTGTGGATCCGTACCTCGGATTCTGCAACCCGTTGCACCACTACTATCCATGTTAGTGTGGGGATGTTTTGTTGTGCAGGATCACAGCCCCTGTGTGTCCACATGAGGAAAGGTCAAGATGGCTATCAGAGTAAAAATGGACTGTCTGTTGCATCAGACCAGGCAACTTGATGAGTTTATATTTTTAAGTAGCCCATAAAAAGTTCAAGTCCTAAAATTCGTGATTTATTTTCATTCATAATGATGTTCCACTTGTCGGTGATATTGAGAGTCTTGAGACACAGAACGGTCTTCAATGCAAACTATGATGACATAATATTAACCTGACAAAGTCATTTTACTCTGAGAACTTTAGAACAAACTGCAGTCTGTCTACCAGCTGTCCATCCAACTTCCAAGCTCGTCCTGCTGTGACCTCTGACCTCTTCCTCTTAAAATACTGCAGGATGCTCGTCTCTGCAGGAACATTCTGACCAGTGTTACCTTTAAATTGTTTATGGACATGGATGCACACATTCAGGACTTTTTAAGGTCAAGGATGGTCAGAGACAGGGGCCAAAAAGTGGCCCAGGAGTTTGTCCCCAGTCAGTCTGCTCTCCAGATAAAGTATTTGTCGGGGCCTCTGGGTCTTTAGAGAACTTTATTCCTTCTAAAGTAAAGTAATCACCTCAGCTGAGCCCTTCAGTACGATGAATAATAATCCATATCTTCATCATGCTCACCATAAACTGGTGCTTTGTGCTGGTTCTGACTCTGTTCTGCTATAGACCTCATCTCTGCTGCCTGTCTCATGTTCACCACAGCAGCACTAGTACTGGTGCCGCTGGCCAGTGGCGGGTAGAGTACTCAGACTCTTTACTCAAGAAAAAGTACAATTACTCCCATAAAAAGAACAAAGCTGACAAACCTGTTTCATCTGCTGTTCATCAGGTTAGAAACAGCTGCTGAGCAACAGGTTATTTCCAGAGAATGCAGTTTGCTTTGCTTGCTGATTGTTTGTCATTTAGCTGTTTCTACAATTATTTTCCTTTTTAAATCTCCATGAAGGTGTTGATCACTTTAAAATATCCCTTTTGCTGCCCAGCCAACTATTGTTGCCTGTGCCTTTTTATTATGGAGATGTAGCCAATCAAACGCTTGCTTTGCAGCAACACAGGCAGCCAATACAATCTGATTATTCCTGAAGCATCTAAATAATCTCCACAACGCAGATAACGATTGTGGCAGTAACACGAGAGCAGCTCGTTGTTGAAGCAGGTAAAGCTGCATACAGAAAATAAATAACAGCTGGCAGCTGCTGAGTGAAAGATCCGTTTCACCGGCGACATTCTGTTTATGTATTAAAGAAAAGAAACCGGCTGATGTCCAAAGCGGTGCTCGGTTCAACAACAGGACACTTTTAATATATCTCAGAGATCTTACAGTTCATTTGCTCTGCAGAGAATAAAGACGCTTTTAATGCGCCGTTAATGGAAACGGACGCGGGCTGCAGTGCCGTGATGTGGCTCACATCAGTAGAACATAAAGGCTTAAACTGAAAAGATATTTGCCAGATTTTCTAAATGTTTGCATCTGCCCAGCTCTGGCTGTGACGAGCGCCCGACCAGCGCTTTACTGCGTAACTGCACACAGCCTGGATCACAGCTCACTTCTGTTAATGAAGCAAAATGCAGATTACAGACTGCTGAAGTTCTGATGGTTTGAATGGAAAATAAAAGTCCAGTAGATGTACCCAGCCCTGCTGCAGACAGCATCACTGCTGCCTTCAGCTAGAAGGAACAGCAGCACAAAAGTCTGGAATATTGAGGCACTTTGCTGCTTCGGCCTCCTCTTTTCTTCTCCCTCAACATTTCTACAGGCTACATTCTGTCCGCGACTGATGTGGACTGTGAGTGACTGACCGGTCTCTTAATAAACCGCCTCCTATATGATCCAGCTCCGAAATCGCCTCAGCCAGGAAGGCAGTGCGAAATAAAACATAGACAAACATAGATTTTGAAATGAAACGTGTAAAATGGCTCCTCTGCCTGTCAGGTGATGAAACTCACCACAAATCCACACAGGTTAATTTCAGCGCCTTTGATGCAGCTGGATCATCTTATTCTCCGCTAATTTGCAGGACAATAAATAATATACAACAATAACAATAATCTCTCTCGCTCGCTCATAACGTTAGTTAAGCGAGTAAAGTTAAATTTTCGGCCTTTTGTTGTTTGTTTTTTAAAAATTCTTCTGAGATCCGGGGCTTTTCGAAAAACATCCGGGGCTACAGCCGCTGCCCAGCAGTATAGAAAGTAATATAGATAGAATAGTAAGTAATCTATCCTCTGTCCTCAGCAGGCGGTCAGTCCTTCTCTGTGTCCCGGACGGATCAGCCTGAAGCCAGAGGGGACTCTCTGCCTGCTCCAGCCCAGCCACAGAACCCTGAGCGTGGGTCGAGGCCCAGTGGAGGGCTCCCTCCTCTGCAGAGCAGACCAGCTGTCACCCCGACCCTCCGGCCCACCCGAGTCCAGAGTGAGTACCAGCGGACACAGAGTATAGTGTCTGTAGAATCAGGGACGGTCTGTAGTGTCTGTCTCAACCACCGGGACGCCCTGGATTCTGTTTTCTGGTGTTACTTGAATGCTGCAGGCCGGCATCCGCGTTCAGTTAGTGGAGCAACACCAAACAAAGACACCTGCGTTTACTGCCAGCTGAAATCTGACTCCGAGCAAAGAACCCAGCTTCTTTACGTTCTGTGGGAAGACCAAAAGACTTCATATCGAATACCAGCAGCAAGTTTACTTTAGGAGTGAAGTGTTTTGTCATCAAGCATCAAATTCTTCTTTAATGCTAATGCAACCGAAGTCAAATCACAGCAACCCTGGAGACAATTACAGCATCAGAAACAAACATCCAACCACTCGAGATCACAAACATGCATCACAAACAGTGGCGATAAAAGAATTTCCCAACAAGGTCAAATAAAATATAAAGTAATATAAAGTAAGAATAATGTGTGTGTGTGTTGCAGCGCGAGGTGTGTGTGAGAGCAGACCGGGTGTGTGTGGGCGTGGCCGCTGTGTGGATCAGCCAGGCGGAAAACACACCTGTGTGTGTGATCAGGGATACCAGCCCAACTCTCAGCGCACATACTGCCAAGGTGAGCACACGCAAAAAATGTGTTTTTATCTAATGGATGAAAGAAAGATAAGAGAGTTTTATTCAAATATGTTACAAAAACTTTTCTGATATTTTTCCTGGATCTTTTATTTATTTTTTTTTGTGGAAATATTTGAGTTTTTTCCTGATTTTCTCCTTTATTTTACTGGAAATAATTTTCTGGTTTTAACAGATTTTTCCCCCAGATATTTTACTAATATTTTTCACATATTTTACTGATTTTTTTTTTTTTGTGTGAAAATTTCACAGGTTTTTTTTTCTAGATATTTTACTGATTTGTTTCCGTATATTTTACTTATATTTTTCAAATATTTTCCCAGATACTGTATTTTCTATAAGTTTTTCAGATATTTTACTTTTTTTTAACCTGAATGTTTTACTAATAGATATCAGATATTTTACTGATTTTATTTGGTGGAAATTTCACAGGTTTTTTTTCTAGATATTTTACTGATTTGTTTCCGTATATTTTACTTATATTTTTCAAATATTTTACAATTTTTTTTTCTTCAGATATTTTACTAGTATTTTTCTGATATTTTCCCTGGAAGACATTACAACATTTTTCTATGTTTCAGAGTGAGTTTAGTGATTATTTAACTCAGAAGCAAACGTTATAATAAGTGTTTATTGTAGAAATAATGGTGGCAACAAAATTGAACACCCTGTTTACTGAATGAGATTAAATTTTGTTTAAATTGTGTGTGTGTGTGTGTGTGTAGATGTGAATGAGTGTGTGCAGTCTCCAGGTGTGTGTTCGGTGGGAGAGTGTGTGAACACCATGGGAAGCTACAGGTGTGTGTGTCCGTCCGGATACAGGAGCAGCAGCCAGCTGACCGGCTGTCAAGGTGACGTCCACTTCCTGCTTGTTTTTATGTGCTCAGGTTGTTTGTTCTGCTTCACACAAACAACAAACAAAGATCTCTAAACAACTAAAAGAAGCTCACTCTGTTACGTCCTCAGACATCGACGAGTGCCAGCAGAATCCCTGCAGCAACGGCCGCTGCGAGAACACGCCGGGCAGCTACAGGTGTGTCTGTCGCCTTGGGTACAGGCTCAGCGGCAACACCTGCACAGGTAAAGAAGCATCATAGCATAGCAACTATATAATTACATCTTTCTGTTTAGGAGAAAAACAAAAACAAATGATATTTATTGTTACAGTTGCTACTGAGAATGATTAGAATTACAAAAACTAGTTAGGAGCAAGCAGAAAAGTAAGAATACATGACAGAGAGATGGTTCCTCGTACGGCTGAAGTGGCAGATGTAAATTTTCTGTTACTTGATACTTTACTACATTTTAGAGGGAAGTATTGTAGTTTTTACTCCACTACATTTATGAGACAATGATCAATAAGCTAATAGTTAGTTACAGATTAAACTATCCAACGGTGTATAAAGTAGTTAACCGTTTGTACCGGTACCGGGGGCGATGGTGCTCTGGGCGATGATAATGATTGAAACATTTTTTTTGGCCGTTTTAACTCCGAAACCCGCCGATGTTGTTGCTCCGAGTCTAAGCGGGCGCCATCTTGATTATTGCGCAATACCTGCAAGCTTCCTGCCTGCTGTCGTCTTTTCTGCAGAGAGGAAACATGCCGCTTGAGAACATACGGTGCTTTTTGCCATTTTGTGGCCGATCCGTTGGAGATATATAGACATGCAGGGTATCAAATGAAAGATCGATTGATACCCCCCCCCCCATCACTGTGGGATGTTCAGTTCTCAATCTACAGGCCTGTAAATCATGGGAGTGCTTTTGGTGACAGGATGTTGATGAATACTCCTGTTTTTATCAATATTTCAATGTTTTGTCATTTGGAAATAGGTTGTATGGACTGAAATAGTGTTTTAAAGATATCTATCAATAAAAGTCTGCATTTTAACAATAAATATTGCCAAAATATGGAAATTCGCCTGGTATATTTGAAAATGTTGTATGATAACTGTTGTATTTTAGTTATTTTCATCAGATTTACAGTTACAATTGCATTCTAGGTGTATTAGAAGATATTCAGTTGCATTAAAAGCTAACTCAGGATGGTTTTGATGGTTTATTGCATCAAAATATAGCTTTTTTTACCAGGCGAGGCTAAAAATTTCAGATTTTTTCTTTATTGCATCCATGTAGTCTGTAAAAGCAAAATAAATATATTAATACTTAATATTAATACTTTTCAAAGGAGACCAGGATTATGCATCTAGGCCAAATGGTTGAGGAGTTATTCCTGATTAATTTTGGGTTTGTTATTTTAGGCGTTTTTTCTGGATGGTCTGTTTTCAACATTAAAGTAGCTGCACAAGCTAAAACATTAAAATACTGTTTCAGGCTTCAGTTTTAATACGATACGATATTATAACACCTTGAAAGGGACCATTATTTCCAATGAGTGCTTTTACTTGCACTACATTTTGCTAATAATACTTTTGTACTTTCACTTGAGTCTGTTACGTCCCGAGGTGTCTAGGGGTATTGGGACATAAACATAAACCGGATGTTGTTGGTTTGAAAGGATATTTATTTGAAGTAATGCAAATGGTGCACAGACAGAAAATGGGCCAATGGGTGCTGTGGAAATCAACAAACAATTATAACAAAAGGAGATCCTCAAAAGGAGGAGTCAAATATTCAAAACAGGACTTTTACTTGTAACAGAGTATTTTTACATAGTGGTATTGCTACTTTTACCCCAATATTTACCTAATATATTTCAGATATTTTAGTAATGTTTTTACGAAAATTTTGTATTTTTTCCCCTTGATATTTTACTGATATTTTTCACATATTTTACTTATTTTTTTCACATATTTTACTTATTTTTTCAAGATATTCTACAGATTCAGGATATTTTTTTCCCAAAATTTTACTAATATTGTTCTGATATTTTCCTGATTTGCTTGGTAAATATTTTACAAATTTTCTGGGGCTATTTTCCAGAATCCTTTTGAGCAAATACAGTATAATTAATATTTTTTTGATAGTTTACTAATAGTTTTTGAATATTTTACTACTAGTGTTTGGATATTTTGCTAATATGTTTCCTGATATTTTACACGTTTTTGTCAGATGGTTTACAGATATTTTCCTGTTCTTGTATTGGCTCGGCAGCAAACCGTGTCAGCAAAGTGTGTAAACGCTGTGCATGTTTCAGACGTGGACGAGTGCGAGGACGCTCTGCAGTGTCCAGGTCAGGAGTGTATCAACAGCCAGGGCTCGTACCGCTGCGTCTCCTGCCAGGCTGGATACAGACTGCTCAACAGGGTCTGCACAGGTAAACTCTGTCTGTCGGCCTCCAAGTGTTCCTCAGTTCTAGTGTTAGAAATAAGACAAATTTACCAATAATGTTTTAACTACAGTAAACGGAAAAGGTCTGTGTAATATGGCCTTTAGATTTAACCACTTCTAATGTTATTCTACATGTCTTTAACTGTTTGAGGTCATTGCTGGACACACTTAGCTTAGCATTCAAACACTTAAGGACTGTTTTCCTTCTTCTTGTGTTGAAATGAGTACACAAGTATATGTGTTATATGTGTATATATATGTTACACCACAGCAACTACCGATAGTAGACCTCATCACAGCCACAGAATCGGCCATTAGGAAAAACAAATTAACAGAAACAGAAGCGGAACAGCTCAGACTAAAGGTATCTGCAGCCCTTTCTAATGCGAAGGCCCCCCCTTCCAACCTCACCATCCAAGAAAGGAAGGCTGTGACATCTCTGAGCAAGGATCAAAACATCACTATCCTACCTGCGGACAAAGGAAGATGCACGGTAGTACTTAACACAGCTGACTACCAGAACAAGGTCAACACACTACTAATGGACACAAACACATATGAGACACTGAGACAAGACCCAACCAGGGGATACATGAAAAAGGCCATAGAATGTCTACAACAGTTACAGAAGGACAACACCATCACCCGTGAACAATATTACCGTTTGTATCCTGGAGAAGCCATTCCTTGCATTTATGGACTACCCAAGATACACAAAGAAGGATTTATCAGCAGCATTAACTCGGTCACCTACAACATTGCCAAACACATTTCCACCATCTTAGCTCCATTGGTGGGAAACACGCCTCACCACGTCCAAAACTCTATTGACTTTGTAAACAAAGTTCGAGGACTGAAACTGGACCCAGATGAAACCATGGTATCCTATGACGTGACTTCTTTGTTCACCTGCATCCCCACCATAGAGGCAGTAGAAACCGTCAGGAAACGGCTAACACAAGACAACACCCTGGACAACAGAACTAGCCTCAGCCCTGACCAAATCTGCAAATTGCTCGACCTCTGTCTAAACACCACCTATTTCCAGTAAAACGGTGGATTCTACAGACAGAAGCATGGCTGTGCCACGGGCTCACCGGTATCCCCGATTGTGGCCAACATCTACATGGAAGAAGTGGAGAGTAAAGCCCTCAACTCCTTCAGAGGAATAGCACCGAGCCACTGGTACAGACATGTGGACGACACCTGGGTCAAAATCAAAAGCCAGGAAGTGCAAGCCACATCTCAAAGGGAAATATTGTATGATTAATACATAATAAAAATAATCATTAATCGCAGTCTGATTAAAAAATAGTTCAACCTCAACCAACTACATTAATGCACGAAGAAGAATAATAAAACACTGCTCAAAAAAATAAGGGGAACACTTAAACAACACAATGTAAGTCAAACACACTCCTGTGAAATCAAACTGTCCAGTTAGGAAGCAACACTGATTGACAATCAATTTCACAAGGAATAATAATAAAATATAGTATAACAGTCATAGGGGACGTTTTTCTTTCTGCTTTGAGGCTACTTTTATCTTTAAAAGGCTACTTCTACATTTTCCAGCTTATAGCCTACTTGCATACTTTTACTAAACTTTTTCAAAGCAGTATTTGAGTATTTTTACAGTGAGGTATTGGTACTTTTAATTTTTTTTAAAGATCTGAATAGGCGTAAGTTACTTTGCTCACCACTGCCTAAAAAAGCCAAAGCTGCTGGTTGCAAAGAGGCTGGAGAGTTTTTGACTGCATCAATAATAATAATTTAGCACACATTTGTCTGTTACTCCCCAACATCAGCCGCTCTCGCTATCTTCGGTCCCAGGCAAGTGATTTCGTCCAGGAATCTAAATGCTATAAAATCTAAATGCTAAAAAAAACAAAAACCTACAGTTACCGTATGCATCGGGTCTTCCAACTTCCACTCCGTGTGAGAAATACACGGTGTGGCGTGTGACCTGGCTGAAATGCGTGTGTCTCACGGTGAATGCGTGAGACTTGAGAGCCCTGTGCTAGACTCTGAAATAAAGTCATCGCACTGCTGCTGATATGTAATGGAGATATTTAAAGTTTTAATAGACACCAAGACAATCACAAAAACCATGTGGTGTTATTACCTGCTGCAATTAACAACTTCAGGAGAAGCGTAGGCAACATTTCAGACCTCCGCCATGAAGTCATGTACACTTAAATTCATATAAAGCACATTTGACTTTATCATAAGTTGCGTCTCGATCACATTTATTTGCACGATTAACTATGAAGCGACGCCACGCCGGCTCTCATCAGTGTGTTTTGTGATTGTCTGCAGACGTCGATGAGTGTCGCCAGGCGCCCTGCTCCAACGGTCGCTGTGAAAACACACCTGGAAGCTACCGCTGTGTCTGTCGCTTTGGTTACAAGCTCCAGAACAACACCTGTACAGGTAAAGTGGCAGCAGTGGAGGAAATACTCAGATCCTCCTCTACTTCGTTAAAAGTACCAATACAGCAACGGAACATGTGAATTGTCATTTTTACACTTGGGTGTTGGTGCGGATTAAAACAGAGCCAGGCTAGCTGTTTCCCCCTGTTTCTAGTCTTTATGCTAAGCTACGCTAACCGTCTGGAGCTTCATATTTAGTGAGAGTGGTATTAATCCCAACATCTTTGCATCCCCAAAACGTAAAAAAAACAATGTGTGTTCAGATGTAGACGAGTGTGCAGAGCCGTCGCAGTGTCCCGGTCAGATGTGCGTGAACACCGCGGGGTCGTACCGCTGTGTTTCCTGTCGACCAGGATTCACTCTCGCCAACAGACAGTGTGCAGGTAGAAACACTCTCTCTAATTTTAAATGTTATCCACATTTGTTTGTTTTTTAAAAGACTAGTAGGTGCAAAAAGTTTTGAATCGGTGCAGCAACGTATTCCTTCTGGGCGCCAAAAAAGAGGCTCAGACTGTCTCACGACACGTTGTTGTTGTTGCAGGAAGACGCCTGGAGGCAACCAGGGAGAGGACTTTGTTGTGTTGTAGTAACGTTAGGAAATAAAGTCAAGGTCAACTTTACTGTCAATTTCTCCACATGTACCAGACATACAGAGGAATAGAAATAGCGTTTCTCACTAACCAACCCACGGTGAAGCAAATAAATAAAATATAAATAAAATGCACAAACAACTAAATTAAGAACAAAAACACTTAAAACAAAAACAGCACAAAGTCTTGCTAGCAGCTCCTCTACGTACACAACAACCTTTTTGTGAATTTTGCCATTTTGACAGGCGCAATTAAAGCTGGATGATAAAAATAATAATAATTTTTGCGATATGTAATTTTCCCCAATATAAATATAACAGATGTTCAATTCATTTGAATCACAAACAAATCAGCACTTAATTTTTCTTATTATAAAAGACTTAATTTTACTTGTGCATATTTTTATGTTTACAAAAGATTTTATCATCTTCGGTCTGTAATTCTAATTGTTTATTCTCAACTTGTTCTGAACATAAAGAAAAGTTTAAAACCATAATTAACAATCTGGTTTCTTCAACTTCACTTAAAACTTTAAACTAAAGATAATGATTTTAAATTGTCTTGATAATTATTGATATCAACTGATATTTTGCTCAGTCCTAGGCGTCCTGAAGGAATACGCTGCAGCCGGCTGAACACCACTTCAACACCAACATATGTAAAGACGGGGCCGAGCTTTAAAAATACAGAAATCTTTGTTTAAAAAAAAACATCTTTTACTGTGTGATTGTCTTATTCTTCCTTTTTCACCTAGTTGTACTCTTTTTAAATCCTTCTTACGTGTGTTTTCACATCGGCTCCTGTTTCTGTCTCTTGTGTAAAACGCACTTTGAGTCGCCCGGCTGTTGAGAGGTGCTGTGCATTAACTTGCCTTGCAGATGTAAATGAGTGCGAGGACAGCGAGTCTTGTCCTGGTCAGCGGTGCGTGAACACCGAAGGATCTTACAGCTGTGTGGACTGTCAGCAGGGATACCACAGCGTGAACGGACTGTGTGCAGGTACACACCGACACACGTGCATCTACTTCCTTACTTTGGGATCAGCAGAAGCTCTTTGTAACTGTGGTATATGTTGGATATTTTGGACTCGGATGCTGCAGCTGCCGGCCCGATACTGTTACTGTATCCCAACAATTTGCTGTGATTTACTTGCAGTAAACGGATCAAACTGATGCTGATTTCTTAAAAATTTGAATTCATGCTTTGTCAGGTCTGTCAGCTGGATAAAATGCTTGTTTTCTGAATGGAGTTTGGATCAGTCAGGGTTGTGCTATGCTAACTTCTGTCAAAGATAGATAAATCACTTTATTGTCTGTCCCAAGACGGTGACAGAAATGCTCCATCCTACATAAAAACAGCAGCTGTACAAGGTCTACTTTTTGTTGTTCAGAGAGGTTATCGCAGACGGTGTGAAAGATTTCTTGTAAATGTTTTTCCGGGCCAGTGGAACTTTCTATCGTCTGCCTGATGGCAGTAACTGGAAAGAGTCGGTGGCCTTCCTGATCACAGAGCGGGTTTGTAGTGAGCTGATAATCTTGCTGCAGCGGTTTATGATTTGGTTTTCTGCTTGAGGAGGTTGTGCCAGGATGAGATATTTTCTTACCAGGTTCTTCCTTTTCTCAGCATTAGACAGTCATGATGAATCCTAATGATTGTTTTTACCTGTAGCCCAAACATTAGGACCAATTTCCACCAGAAACATCAAAATCTGATGAAATTACTGGGCCACATTCTGAACACTTGTTTGGGCAGAGCCAGGCTAGCGGTTTCCCCCTATTTCAAGTCTCTATGCTAAGCTAAGCTAACCGGCTGTAGCTTTGCGTTTGGTGAACAGTTGGTGTCGATCTGAACATCTGACTCCCAGAATGTAAATAAGTGTGTGTGTGTGTGTGTGTGTTTAGATGTGGATGAGTGTGTGCAGGCGTCGCAGTGTCCCGGTCAGCTGTGCGTGAACACCGCGGGGTCGTACCGCTGTGTTTCCTGTCGACCAGGATTCAGCAGCAAGGACGGCTCCTGCCAAGGTAACACTCGATCCAAACACGTGCACACCAGCAGCCTGCTGTCCATTTTAAGGATTCAGTGTTTCCCACAGGATTTTAAGAGGCTATGGTGGGGGGACCCTCTCAGGCCCCCCCGGAAGAACATTTTGTACATTTTAAAGTTTAAATGCATTAATTTGGTGCAAAATTAAGAGGCTGTCTATGAAGAACTTAAACAATGTTGTGCTCTGATAAAGTATTTGATCATAAAGCCAGTGTAGAGCTAGAAATCGTGATGAAACGGCAACAACAGTCAGCAAATTTATTTAAGGTTTTTCCAAAAACCCTGAATTTTCCGAACATTTTACTGATGATGTAGTTTTTTAATTTCCTTTTAATGGACGCATGTAACATGTTTTACACTTTCTGTGAATATAATCCAATTAATTTAATTTCCATCCTGCAACACTTGTCTTTGTAAAGAGACAAACTGAGAGGATAAAGTCTCTAACCTGCCCGTCGGCTCGCTCTGGGCCGCTTCAGTGGATTTACCATAAAGGCTTGAATACGTGTGCAACGATGATTTTAGTATTCAAAGCTTCTATAGATTATTTCAACGATTCATCGATGCGTCGTTTAAGAGGGGTGGTGATGGCGCAGTGGATAAGATGCCTGCCTTTGTTGTGAGAGACCCGTGTTCATCTCGCCACTGTGACCTGTCCACCAATGTGTCCCTGAGCAAGACACTTAACCCCTCGTTGCTGCAGAGGCGTGCGACCTCTGACATGTACGGCAAATGTAAGTCACTTTGGATAAAAGCGTAAATGAATAAATGTAGATGTTAAGAAGTACTTTTCTCAGTCTGAGTTCTTGTCTGTTCTTGTGAAACGTCATCAGTCGCAGCCAAAGTACTGTTCCAATTCAAAAGTCCGCATCTAACCAGGTACAGTCAGATACCCGGATGTGTTCTCGCTCCATCGGTGGTGACTTGTGTGGACTTCGGATAGCCAGATATCCCAGAATGCATTTCGCTGCCAAAAAGCTTAAATGTCAGATGAGAAAACTCACAACTGTAACTTATAATCCTGCTGTTCTTGTGTCACATATAGTAGTTTTAAGAGTTTTTTTATTGGGGAATAAGTTGTTTAAACTCCAAATATGTGGCTGATTTCTGAAGACAGAGCTGATTTTAAAAATTGCTACGACGTTTTCGGAGATGAGGTCCCGCCCGACTAATAAATGTCCCTGCGAAACAGCTGACTTTCCCTTCGCCTCCCTTTCCTCCCTCCCTCTCTCTCTCCCGTAGATATAGATGAGTGTGCGAGCGCTGGGGCGTGCGAGGCAGAGCGGGTGTGTGTGAACACCGTCGGCTCGTTCAGATGTGACTGTCGGCCCGGGTATCGAACCTCCGCCCTGGGGAGACAGTGCAGAGGTGAGTGCCGTCCACAGTAAACCTCAGTTACATGTCAGACAGAGACCTTTCCTTTTCTCTAAGATCCTTTTGGTTTAACCAGAAACCGTCACTGTCACTCCCGTCAACGCCGCCAGACTTCATTAACAGAAACAGTAATTTTCCCTCTCTGGCCCGGCGCTGCCTCCATCGCTTAGTTTGTCTGGTGTTGTGTGACTTTAAAGCACCAAAGTCACGTAAACAAACAAACTGACCGACGCAGCGGTGGGCACTCCCTCCTGGATTTGACTCTGTCGCGAACGCAATTGACCCTTCGCTAAGCCACGCCCTGAATACACAGCTGGCCAATCACAGCGCAGTATAGAACTCTCTCTGACTGAGCGACACTTTCACGGCTGAGCTCCATTGACTCTGATGCAGAAAGAGTCGTTTTTTCTAGCTTTTTTTCTGGCTGTATTTTTCTAAGATCTGGTCAAACGCTGTTCCTGCAGCATCTTGTAACAGTTACAGCAGAGAGGCTGAAAGGAGAAGGACGGTTTATTCTCTAAAACCTGAAATAAATCCAGAAACATGTCGGCTGTGGATTGTTCCTAATGTAAAGTTATTTATTTCACGTCCGTCTGAATAAAACCTTCATATGATGCAACTGCAAAACTGTCTGCTTCTTTCTGAGATCACTTTTCCCAACAAATCTGACAATATTTAATTTGGCCCCTTGCTTTGACCCCCCCCCCCCCCCACTATCCTAAACCTCAAGGTGAAACTAGTAAATATTATAACATTAACGACTTTGAGCATTAAACACTTACATTTCCTGCTTTCTGGACACATTTTAAATTTATGGTGGAAATGTCTTTATTTATATGAAGGGAAACAATATTCATGTGGCCGTGACGGATCAGAATATAAACCTTTTGGACGCTGCACATTTCTTTCTTCTATATGTCAGTTGCATCTTTTCTTATTGTTTCATTTGTTATTCAACATTTCTTGTTGCTGTTTTTTCAGAACATTTTTAACAAAAGCTTTCAAAAAGTGCCGGAGACATTCTGACCCGTCCCCAGCGTCCTCAGTGTAAATGGTTCAGAGTTTACTTACAGGATCACAACCTTTGCGTGGGAAGTGGCGTCCGCACGTTTCCCTGTTTTGTACGTACGCACCGTTGATAAATGAGACCCCTGGCGGTCCCTCGTGCACTCACGGACGTGAAAAGTAACACTTGCTTTAAGGTTAGACCCTGAAAATCCTGGAGTTTAATGTTTAACAGTTTAGTGATTAAGTTAAATCAGTTCAAAATATCACATCTACCTTTGCACTTTTCACTTATTCCCTCAATCAGTTCATCACAAAAAAAACATCGCAGCTTTCATTGCAATGTTTTAGTAAAAGCTGCCGCAAAATCACGAAATAAGGCCCACGAGCTCCTGGAGGGAGTCGGCCGACCAGCTGCACTTGTTGTTGTTTACACGTGTTCTGCCTGGTTTTTATTGATGGACTACTGAAGTTACCCTTTTAAGTTTGTCTGTTAAATGTGTTAATTATAAAGTGTGTGTGTTTGTGTCCGCAGACATTAACGAGTGTTTGGAGGGAGACTTCTGTTTCCCCAGAGGAGAGTGCGTCAACTCACCAGGATCCTACACCTGTGTCTGTTCTCAGGGATTCACGCTGAGCGACAACAGGACCGCCTGCCTCGGTGACTTAATTATTTTATTATAACTTATTTAGTTGCCATTTTGTTCCCTTTAATTCTTTCTTTTAAATGTACTTAAATAAATAAGGGATGGACTGTGTGTGTGTGTGTGTGTGTGTGTGTGTGTATATATATATATATATACACACACACACACAAAGAAATCGGCTCCCACAAAATAAATGTTTAGTTTAATTCAGTTAGATTTATTTCTTTTATTTTTACTAGATTTTATTAATAGATTTAATCGCTTATTTATTTCATGATCAGTGTATTTGTCTATTTACATTTACATAAGTAGGACCCATCTAGTCTTATTGATATGTCTGTAGTGACGCACCGAACGTTCGGCCACCGAAATTAATCGGCCAAAAATAGCAACAAAAAGAAAAGCACTTTCGATGTTTGATGTAATGAGTCAAAAGACTGATTAAATTTTACCGAACACTCACGTTGACACGTCGGCAGTGTGGAAGCATTTTAAAGTGTTCTGCTGAACTGTCTCCAGCACATCTGCTCCATCTGTGACTGACTTCTTAGAAAAGACCCGCTGTGAGTGTTTCTGTCTCTCGTCTGTGAGAAGGAGATTAAACTAGCAGCGCCTACATTTAGAGTGCACACGTATTCCAGCCTTTACGGTAAGTGAAGCGGCTCAGAGCGAGCCGACAGGCAGGTTAGAGACTTTATCCTGTCAGTTTGTCTCTTTAGTATGAAGAGAGGCTGTGAAGTCTTCATGTTACAACATTATTTATCAAACCGGGTCAGACTGGATGGATTTAGCGCGAGGAGGAAACACATGTGACAACGTCCGGTTTTCAAAATAAGGCGTCTGTACAGGATGGAAATAAGATTAACTGGATTATGTTCACAGAAAGTATAAAACATATTACATGTGTCCATTAAAAGTAAATGGACTAATTTACCGGAGCCTCTCGGGGCCCCGGACCCCTCACCACAGTCTCTGCACATCCTGCAGGAAACACTGAGGAAAAAGCTCATTCTGACTCTTTAATTCATGTAGTGGGAAAAAATCTGGCAAAATAAATGGAAAAAATGTGAATGTACTTGTTTGGTATTTGGGAAAGTTTTTCGTTATATTCGGTTTGGGCCCTAGTTTATGCCTTTACGGGACAGTGACAGGAAATCTTTTTTTAATCTTGAATGAAACGAAAAGTCTTACAGACCAATGTGGATGTCAGGTGTCATCATTTCCATTAAGAAGTATATGAAGTACACACAGTACATGAATGCTCGGGACCGCTCAGGTCCGGCCTCCTCTGCTTCTGCTTTTAGAGATGATGTAATGGTGATGTCATCTTTGGCCCGAGTGTGTGTGTGTGTGTGGGGGGGGGGGGGGTACATGCAGTAACTCTCTCTCTCTTCCTGTAGATGTGGACGAGTGCGTGAAGTCGGGTGTGTGTTTGGACGGTCGCTGTGTGAACACCGAAGGCTCCTTCCAGTGCCAGTGTCAAACCGGCTTCACCACCAACCCGGAGAGGACCGCCTGCCTCGGTACGCACACACGCCCCGAGTGCATTTACTCAAGTATAGGTCATAAGAGCCCGACCGATATGGGTTATTAGGGCCGATGCCGATGGAGTGAAAAAGAGCCGGTATTTAGATTTAGAGAATGATTTGGATAACAGCCCTTTCCTGAACTTAGAACAGGCCGATATTGAAGGCCGTGCGGTACGTGGGCTATAAAACCTTGTTAATAAAATGGATTACAGTCTCAACTTGTTGCACATCTATAAATATTTGCTGCTGGAAGGTGCAACTTTTTCAGCCGCCTGGACACCGAGAGAGAGAATAAAGCATGTGTGTTTCACTTTACACACAATCTGCCATAAGTTCAATGTAGCACATTCACATGTAGTTCATCCCTTCACCACCTTCACTCTTTAATTCTAACCAAAGAATCAACATCTGTCTAAATCAGGGGTTTTCAAAATCTGAGACTGCAGCTTGCTGGTTCAGAAGTCCTGACGTTACATTTTTCGGGCCCCCGTTACTGTCGGGCCCTGCGTTAACATTAAACATGCTGCTGTGAGCGCGGAGGAAGCCGGAGAGGGCAGTTAAAAAACGGGAAGGTTAGCAAGTCGTGAATGTTTTCAGGAGAGGAGAAGTGACGGGGGCTGTTGTTGTTGTTGTTATAATTTCTGTCGTGTAACTAACGCGACGAATCACCAGCTCACCGCTAACACGCCTACTCTGCATGTTGTTTCCACCTGCTGCAGTCAGCTGATGTTTTGTTCTGTGGTGCTGCCCTCTGGTGGGCAAACTATGCAGCACTCATAGTCGTAAATCTGCTTTTATAAACGCTGATGCCGATTAAACGCAATCAGTTCATATCGACCGGCCGATATATCAGTCGGGCTCTCGTGCTTTAAAGCAATTGTACTTAAGAATTACCATTTAATTACTTTCTTCTTCTTCTTCTCCGTTTGTCTCTCTCTTTCTCTCAGATGTTGACGAGTGCGTCTCGACCAGCGGGACGGTGTGCGGGTCGAAGCGGTGTGAGAATACGATTGGTTCGTACCACTGCCTCACTTCCTGTGAGCCGGGCTACCAGGTCACGCAGACCGGCGACTGTGTAGGTGAGTCTGACACACATTAACGTCTCAGAGAGAACAGGGATTGGTGGTAAGCTGTTTCACACCTGGAGAAGGTCCCTGAGCAGATTCATAACTGAAAGCTTCTCCTGAAATGAAACCGTGAAACAGACGGAGAAAGTGCTGCACAAACGGCAATAAACGGACACCATCAGGTCGGACTTGCTGGAGGCGATGCAAAGACTGCGCAAAACATTTCAACAACGCTGCATCCATCCCATGTGATGCTACTTTATATTTATATATAAAACCAGACTAAACTGGAGGAAATAAGTGAGGAAGCAGAACTACCTGCAGCTGTCGTTGTCCTTTAAAAGAAGTTAGCGTAGCATAGCTCTGATCAAGCAAAACTCCACTCAGAAAACAAGCATTTTAAAAGTTGTTTGTTTCTCATCTCGCTGAGAGACCTGACAAAACATGACTTAGTATTTTTAACAAATTGGCGTCATGATATCGTTATTTCGGCATCATTTTCATTCGTTTATTGCAACTAAATCACAGCAAAATGTTTATTTTGGGCTCATACAGCTGGAATGGCAGGTTGTGTTTATTCGTGCGAGCAGTCCAGCGGTCAAAGTCGTGCGATAAACGCGATGGGAATTTAAAGTTTGCGTTGTGTGTGTGAAAGTGACGTTAACCCCTCCCTCTCTTCTGTCCCTCTTAGACGTTAATGAATGTGCCAATCAGACGGTGTGTGGAGTTCACGCCTCCTGTCAGAACCTGTTAGGAACCTACCTGTGTGTGTGCGACCAGGGCTTCACCTCCGCCGCCGACGGAAAGGCCTGCGTCGGTACGTGTCTGTCTTCAGACTTCCTGCCGCCGACAGGCCAGCTGTCAGGGTCGTTCATCTTTCACTCAGTAAAATTAGCTCAGTAGCTAACGGGACGGTGAGTTCTCGCTGTTTCGTGAAGGCGAGACACGGCAGATAAAAACATTGTCACCAAGCACTAGCCGATTTTAAGATTTTGGGCTAATTTGCTTCTATAACAGCTCTTCTTTTAAATAAATATTGGCTCTGTAAATATTGATTTTTAATAAAAATGTATGGAATTTTACAATACATGTCTTTAAAGGCTGTTTCTCCTCTGAGCCTGAAATCTCCACTTCAGCAGCTGTTACAGTCAAACTTTCCATTTGTATTCCTGACTATATATCGTGAAGGTTTTTACTGAGGGGTTTGTTCATATTTCATTCACAGCCTCAATTATAGAACATTTTATTCCCAAAAACATGGCAAAAATATATTTTTTGATTTATGAAATAATAAAAAGAGGTATCCTGTAAAAACATTTGAATATAATGTGTCAAGGAAATAAAACGTTTGAAGCTGACGTAATCCAGTGTTCAGAGTCCAGTTCTTGAAATCATATTTCATTAGATACAGCCTCATTTGCACGTTTAGAAAACCCGTAACACAATACCTTGACGGGGAACTGAGAGTGTGTAAAAAAGACGACGTCATCGATTTGGATCCTTTTTGTTTTAAAATAAATAAATCTGTTCTGTCTCTCAGATGAGGACGAGTGTGTGTCTCTGCCTGGCGTGTGCGGTTCTGCTCGGTGTGAGAACGTGGAGGGATCCTTCATGTGCGAATGCGACAGACGGGGAGACGAGTTCGACCAGGCCAGCAGGCGGTGCGTCGCCACGCCACGAGGTACACGTGAGACTCAGACGTTCAGAAATGTTAGTAAATTATTATTATTGTGTATTATTGAGTAGAGGGCGCCTGACGCGATGAGCTACTCGCTGGTAAATCAGTATCTGTGTTTATAACGGCTGAAAGATCCTTCAGTCATGGGATGAGTGTCTGTCCACCAGAGGGCGCTGTGCAACTCCCCCTTTAGCAACGCACACCACAGAACACGGCATTCAACAATTATTCTTTCAAATATACTAGTCGCTACTTTAAAGCTACTAGTACTTATTTATTAGTCACTAGTAACTTTTCCATTAGTTTCTACTAAGTATTTATTTAGTTACTAGAAACTAATTGCACGTTTTGGCCATTGAAATTTAGTAATGTTACTAGTAACTTCTCGATACCTACTGAAAAGGTGATATCTGAAGAGCCCCATAGATTTCAACGGCAAAAATGTACAATTTGTTATTAGTAACTAAACAATATTCACGAGTAACTAAAAATGACGTACCTTGTCAGTTGTTATTAGTAAAACGGGAAAAGTTACTAGTGAAGTACGAGTAGCTTTTAAATACAAAAAGTAAGTTTTAGAGAATTTTAGGCGTTTCTGAAAAGAAGGAAAAAAAGAAAATCAGCCGAGAGGATTTTAAAATCCTCAAATATCAAAGTCTGTGTTCATGTGTCCAGAATGCGATCAAATGTGAGACTGATCCAGTTTTTTGGTATCAACCCTCCTGATACTCCAAGCTAGACTTAATATCGTGGCAATGACACATTTGAAGTTACTTATTTGGCTGACGTTTTTATCCAAAGTGACTTAAACAGCTTGTAATTAAATAACAAATGAAATTCCTTCAGAAAGGTTTATTTGCACATAAAGAAAACAGGCAATGCAACTAAAATATAGAAGAAACAAATGTGCGTTGTCCAAAAAAAATAACTTGACCTAAAAACAAATTAAGCTGCTGATTATAAAATGACCCAAAAACGTGCAGCAGCAGTCAGGAACTTAAGTTTTCCGTTCTCTCCCTGTGAACATGACAAAAGACTCAGTCAGGCCTGCATGTGAGCTGCCTCAGCAGAGATATCACAGGAGAAAAGCTGATCTGCAGGAGAAACAGATCTGAGAGCTGCTCTCACTGAGATTCTGTTTTATAGTTTTCTTCTATATAAATTAAAACATTTCCACCAAAAATTGGTTTAGACACCAGAATGCAGGACATGAAGTGTTTAATGACCCCCTCACACCCCTAATCTGAGGGCCTATGTTCCCACCACTTTTCAACACAAAGTGACGCCCTTGCAGTGTTTCCCACACATGGGCTTTACTTGGGAGGGCCGCCCAGGTGGATTAACATCCGCCCAGGTAAAACTGGCGAGCCATTTTAAAATCGTTTTCCCTCCGCACCTCCTCTCAACCGGTCGCTCCCCTTTAAACTCTTAATTTCCTGCATTCTAGAGACATTTCTGCACCAGTTTATGGTGGAAATGTCTTTATTTATATGAAGGGAAACAAAATTCATGTGGCAAATCAGAATATAAAAATATTATCAAATATAATAACAATAATAATAATAATGCTGCAGGAATCAGCAGCTTGTTTTTTTAGCCTAAGTTACTCTTTTTCTTCTATATTTACATTTCATGTTTTCCTGAATTTTTATTTGTTCTTAAACATGTCTTGTTGCAAGCTAATTTTCAGAAAACTTTTAGTAAGTGCTTTCTGAAAGTGGTGGGGACGTGTCCTCAGCGTCCCCGCTGTGAATGAGGGTCGGCCAGCGGCTGCCAGCAGCGTGACGAGGCGCTGAGCGTTTTTTCCAGACGTAATCTACCCCTGGTAGACTGCGTGAGCTTAGAACAGTGATCAGGCAAAAGGTGCTTCCGACTTTGTGCAGCCCGACACTCCGCCGCCGCCGCCGCCGCTGCCAACGCCGCCGCCGCCGCTTTGCTCCCACGAGGTCTTAATGTGGTGACGTTTTGCAGCGCAGGTGTTGTGCCGAATTCTGCATACCTGCTGAGAAAAGAGGTGGATGCCAGTCTCTGCAGGTCGCCTACATCATCTGTTTAAGTATACGTCCACCTCTCAAGGTCCTTTTCAGACACTTTGCTGTTCACATTGTTTAAACGCAGTCTCACCACATGTTTTTGCTGAATCTCAAGTGTGATTAAAAAGATATACTGATCATTTATCAGTATTGATGGAACGCCACAAAGACTATTATAGCGTTTAAAAGCAGATTTTGTGGGCGTGCGCAATTCTCGACTGTGAAAGTCGACCGCACCCCCCCGCCACAGATACGCCGTCTTTCTGTGGGAAACACTGCACTGCCTACAACTAAAAGGTGAATACCTAGGGCAAAGAAGTAAGATCAGGGGGAACAGAAGAAGAAGAGTACAGGAAGTGATGTCAGAGGTCAGAGAAAGTGTTCTGCAGAGTTTTCAGGAGCTTCTTGAAGTCAGAGAGGGACGCCGCAGCTCTGATGGCGTGCGGCGGCTCGTTCCACCATCGTGGGGTCACAGGTGAGAACAGGGACAGAGGTCGCTTTGTGTGAAGTGATGGCAGAGCCAGGCGGCGTGCGTTGGAGGAGCGCAGGTATCGCAGCCCACCTCTACCCCTCTGATTGTTGTATTTTAGAGTCGTGGAGTCAAACTCGAGTGTTTGCTCGTAGTCCAGCCGGAGCTTCTAAACTAACCTCACATTATTATCGACGGTGAATTCTCCTCCCTCCTCCTGCAGCAGCTCCTGACTACGCCTCCTTCTCTTCGTCCTCCTCCTCCTCCGTCCATGTCAGCGTGGTGGAGCTGGCTCCGGTGCTGCCCCCCCTCCCCGAGGCTCGCCCCGGTGAGCTGAGGGAGTGTTACTACAACCTGGCCGAGCGGGGAACCTGCAGCCTGCTGGCCACCAACACCAGCCAGCAGGAGTGCTGCTGCACGCTGGGGGAGGGCTGGGGGATGGGCTGCCTCTACCACACCTGCCCCCCCACAGACACAGGTGAGACACACAGGAAGTTAAGGATCTACTTTTTCAAGGAGCCCATTGTTGTGTGCGTTCCCACCCTGAAGGTGCGAAGTCAAACTAACCAGCTGACGGATGTTCTTACTGACGTACGCTGTGCAAAGTGACGGACGGGAATCATTAGTTGGTAAAGTCATACATTAGTTATACATCAGCAATGTTTATCTGTGAACATCAGATTTGATGGAATAGAATGAAAGAGACACAATTTTCTTTAGGATTCTTACTGACCGGGTCCGTTTGTTCTGGGGAGGAGACGACCTCCGCGGCGAACCGGCTACTGGTAGAAACTTTCTGAACGGTCAACACCGAAGGAAAAAACACCTGAACAGAAAACAAACCGAGCACCTAAACTGAGCTAACGTTAGCTGCTCAGCTCGCAGCACTCGCGTCCAGTTGAGCGTCGGAGGAATGTGGCTTTTATTATTTTTATTACCTGTGGTTGGGGCTGGGCAATAAAACAATAATGATAATTATCGCAATATAATTTGACCCAATAACAATAAAACAAATGTTCAATAAATTTTTGATTTAATTCATTTGAATCGAGAACTAATTAGCACCTAATTTTTCTATTAAGATATTTATTTTATTATCTTGTTTTGAATGTTCCACCTCAGATTTGTGAAGTGATCCACCGTTTGGCATAAAGTGTATTATTGCGATATGTAATTTTCCTGAATATAAATATAACAGATGTTCAATTCATTTGAATCACAAACGAATCAGCACAAAAGAAAAAGATTAATAGAAAAATGAATTTTCTATTAATCTTTTTCTTTTGTTAAAGAAAAAACAACTTATAAAAGACGTTTCCTAATTTTACTTGTGCATATTTTTACATTTAAAAAAGATTTTATCATCTTTGATCTATAATTATAATTGTTTATTCTCAACTATTTGGCAAATCTTTGTCACGTTCTGACAATAAAGAAAAGTTTAATCACACAATTTAACCATCTGGTTCCTTCAGCTTTCACTCAGGAGCAAAAATCAGACTTAGAGATTTAGTTCACTGTGACAGTAAAACTGTTTTTTTGTCCAGATGAGAGAGTAAAATATATAAATGATCTCACTGAATTTAAATGAAACCTTTGAGACAAATAATTACACATCCAGAAACCTGCAGATGCATGTCGACCAACCCGTTCTCATCCCAAGGCGTCACGTAAGATAAGATAAGAAAACCTTTATTTGTCCCACAGTGGGGAAATTGCGGTTTGCAACAGCAAAGACAAGAGCAGGGATAGATAAGAGACGCTTTGTCACGCACCCTCTGCATGGCTTTGGGTACGCCCTGGGTATCGTTTAGCGTCGTTAAGGTGTGTTCACACTGAAAGCCAAGTTAATATTTGCGTCACTTTACTTGCATGAGTTTGACCTCTGGACATTTTGAGTGTCCACACAGACACTGTATGAACCCAAAGTAAACATTTTTCTGTGATTTAATTGCTTTAATTGATTTAAACAGATCAAACTGATGCCGAAATAACGACAATATGATGCAGATTTGTTAAACATATGAATTCATGCTTTGTCAGGTCTGTCAGCAGGACGACAACTTTTAAAATGTTTTCTGAATGGAGTTTGGTTCGATCAGGGCTATGCTATGCTAACCTGTTCACAGCAAAGTACAACGACAGCTGGAATAAAGTTACAGACACATATTTTCTGAACTCACCAGGTAGTTCAACCTCCTCGCTTTCTTTTCTCCCAGTAATGTCCAGTTTTGTCCTGTTTTTATATAAATATGAAGTAGTAGTCCAGCAGAGCTCTGACACTAACAACAACAACAACAGTGGAACCGGATGTGAACAGAAGCTGCTGAGAAGCTCCAGTGAAGATAAATCAAGCTGTAATCCCAAACTAAAGTAAAAAGCTAATTTAATAAAAGCAGTTAACTCTGAGCTCCTCCTGCGGGTAAACGGCGTAGCTGTCAGAGCAGAATCCAGACCGACTACGGGGGTTTATTTGTCCGAAAGCTGCAGCGCTGCTCCCCGTTCACTTCCCCGTTCTTTAGCAGCTCTCCGTCGGCCAGCGGATTGTCATTACACCGCTCGCCTGGTCCTCTCCAACGGCTTTACCAGCGGCGTAGAAAAAGACTGTTACTTGTCAATACCACACCGCCATGCCTTCAGACATCGTTCCGTCTCTGTTGCTGGGGCAGCTGTGGCTCAGGAGGTAGAGCGGGCAAGATACTGAACCCCTAATTGCCCCTGGCGGCTGTTCCACCAGTGAATGAATGTGTGTGATGGTGTAAAAGCGCTTTGAGTGGTCGAAAAGACTTTACTGTTACGTCCCAATTACATTTAATAGCAACAATATAATTTTGATTCATTCATTTTGATTTCACTCTGGCCTCTTCTTTAAGTTTGTATTCAACATAATACCTTAATACAGCGGTCGGCAATAGGCGGCCCGTGGGCCAGAACTGCAGGTTGCTTTGATGGCAGAAAAATAAAAAATAAATAAATTGATGATGGCTGGTGCTGAAATAGATCTCAATCATGACAGCAACAGTTACTCACATAATCACTTCCTCTTAAGTGATTGGGCCTCCAAAATAAAAGTGCGAGAACGTGTTTTGCACCAAACATACTTGGTGGGGTTTATGTACTAAAAGTACTTGGTTAGGTTTACGTACTAAAAGTACTTGGTTAGGTTTACGTACTAAAAGTACTTGGTCAGGTTTATGTACTAAAAGTACTTGGTTGGGTTTACGTACTAAAAGTACTTGGTTAGGTTTATGTACTAAAAGTACTTGGTTAGGTTTATGTACTAAAAGTACTTGGTTGGGTTTACGTACTAAAAGTACTTGGTTAGGTTTATGTACTAAAAGTACTTGGTTGGGTTTACGTACTAAAAGTACTTGGTTAGGTTTATGTACTAAAAGTACTTGGTTAGGTTTACGTACTAAAAGTACTTGGTCAGGTTTACGTACTAAAAGTACTTGGTTGGGTTTACGTACTAAAAGTACTTGGTTAGGTTTATGTACTAAAAGTACTTGGTTGGGTTTACGTACTAAAAGTACTTGGTCAGGTTTATGTACTAAAAGTCGGGTGTTTGTCTTTGTGTCTCATTCTGTTCACTGTTTTGTGTGATTAAAGTTCCTCTCTGTTTTGTGCAGACGAGTTTCTGTCTCTGTGTCCCAGCGGGAGAGGATACGTTACTACTGGACCGGGAGCCTTCAGCTACAGAGGTGCACACACTCTGTACACACAGACATTAATTCGTACAGCTGATACTTTGCTGGGATATATCGGTGTCTTTGAGTGTTTAACCGTCACAGATAAACCTCCATAAATCTGCTTAGACATTACAGACACTTCTTATAACTTCCGATTGTCCTTATAATTAAGGGAGACCTCTTCAGACACGAGGAGGAGGTGGCACCCTCAGCTGCAGCTGCCATGTACATGGTCAGGTCAGGTCGTCGATTAATCGCAGGGTTGGCCGATTGAAATCTCTTTAAGATAGCGTTAAGATAGAAAATGCATAGATAAAGGCATTTAAAGAGAAAAGATAATATTATAGTAATAAGATTATATAAAATATAATCTATTAAATTAAACATAAGCAATAACGGACCTGAAAGTCCAGGAGTTTCTAACTGAATTAAAATGAATTAATTTCTCATTAAGGCAAAAAGGAGCCACATGCACATTTAAAGCGGTTACTTCCCCAAACAAAGAGGAGGGAAGACTAAACAATGACTCAGCAGGGATGATATTAAATAAGTTATCTTCAGGAGAAACATCTGAGAGCAGCACTTAGATTCTGTTAGTTTGAATTGTCGCCTGAATTTGGTGTTTCCCTTTACATAAATAAAAACATTTCCACCATAAACTGGCGCAGAAGGACCCCGAGACCCCCAATTACTACGTGCCCACTCAAATGTTCGCTCTTCGGACTATAAATTAAGACAGAAGTTGTGATAAATCTTAATTCACCCTTTTTTTTTGCCAGATGTGGACGAGTGTAAGCGTTTCCATCCGGAGGTGTGTAAGAACGGACAGTGTGTCAACAACATCCCCGGGTACAGCTGCTACTGCCCCAGTGGATACATCTACAACATCCCCATGCTGGAGTGTGTCGGTGCGTACACACAGACCTACAGCCTGATCGGGCTGAAGGATTTATAAAAAAACATCCAACTGACCCTTCGCTAAGCCCCGCCCCCTTAGTTACTGTTGCTAAGTCCGACAAATTGTCGACACTGACACTGTCTATTGATGCACTCCCCGGAGAGATATTGTCAAATTTGTTGGAAAAAGCGACCTCAGAAAGAAGCAGACAGTTTTGCAGTTGAATTATACATTTGAAGGTTAGTCTCTAACTGACTCATTCGGAGTCAGACGGAGTCAAACTGACTTAGTCGGAGTCAGACGGAGTCAAACTGACTTAGACGGAGTCAAACTGACTTAGACGGAGTCAGACGGAGTCAGACTGACTCAGACGGAGTCAGACTGACTCAGACGGAGTCAGACGGACTCAAACTGACTCAGGCGGAGTCAAACTGACTTAGACGGAGTCAGACTGACTCAGGCAGAGTCAAACTGACTTAGACGGACTCAAACTGACTTAGACGGAGTCAGACGGAGTCAAACTGACTTAGACGGAGTCAAACTGACTCAGACGGACTCAGACGGACTCAGACGGACTCAGACGGAGTCAGACGGAAGTGATCATTAAAAAGCAGAGCAGCAGGGCTTTATTACGTTACATTCAGTAGGAAGTTAGCTAGCGTTAGCTAACTAACATCACATTAGGAACAATCCACAGCCGACATGTTTCTGGATTTATTTCAGGTTTTGGAAAGAGAATAAATCGTCCTTCTCCTTTCAGCCTCTCTGCGTAGCTGCTGTAACTATTACAAGATGCTGCAGGAACAGCGTTTGACCAGATCTTAGAAAAATACAGCTGAAATAGATCTGTCATGGCACCGAATCACTTCCTCTTAAGTGCGCCTACAAATCAGAAGCGCAAGAATGTTTTTTGCAGCAATGCTTTGTTGAGTTTGAGAGCTTTTACTTTGCTGCGATCAAATGTTTCCTTTTTTGTGGCTATCAAAGTAATCAGGCCGCGGGTCTAGCAGCGACAGGACAGCAATACAAGAAATGTCTTTCTGTATGCAGTATGTTACTGTAGTACAGGGGTCTGCAAATAAGTCTGGCATCGGGCCAAAGTTTTTAAAAGTCATTAGATGGCGTGCCGGAACATTTACTGTGTACCTCGCTCAGTAGTGCACAGGACTCTTGTTGAAGGGTTGTTGATGCTAGAATTATTTTTCTCCCTTTTCAATAAATTGATTTTGAAGAGATCAACGTACATGCTCACAATAAAGCATGTACAGGAGTGTATGCCTCCCGGCGATTGGTGCACATCAACCTATGGACGCTTATTTAATTTCCCCAGTATCCCCAGGCGGAGGAAATTCCTGTGTTTCTCATTCAGGGGAATCTGATCTTACGTTTTCTGACGGCTTTTTCAGAGATGCCAGAAACGAGCCAGATATTATTGCTGGCGGGGCGCCTTTGGTCCGTAGGCCGCCTATTGCCAGCCATTGCTGTAGTACATACTGCTCCTGTAGTAGGCGGTTTTGATAAACAACATTATTAACACAGTATTGAAGCTGTACAGTAACTGTTTCTTTCTCCACCTGTATGTCAGATGTTGACGAGTGTGAGGAGGAGCGCTGTGTTGGAGGAGTTTGCGTCAACACGGTGGGATCATATTACTGCAGCTGTCCTCCGACCCTGGTCCTCGACGACACACAACGTAACTGTGTCAACTCCTCCCACCTCACTGTAGGTAAGACACATGCCGTCCTCCTCCCTCCCTCCCTCCTCTCACCCTTTGCTCTTCTTTGTGCTAAGCTAACTCCCTCCCTCCTTGTTGATTCGCCCCGCAGATGAGAACCTGTCCATCTGCTGGCAGCACGTCACGGCGGACCTGATGTGTCAGAGTCCTCTGGTGGGACCTCAGTTCACCTTCGTGGACTGCTGCTGTCTGTACGGGGAGGGCTGGGGGATGCAGTGCGCCCTCTGTCCCTCCAACGACTCCGGTAAATACCTCCCAGGAAACAGGCATCTGCCGCCAAACAAACACTTAGAGAGGCGATTAAAGACGTGCTATCACCAGAGCAACTAAACCCTGTCAGTAACATCTGCAGCTTCCACTCTGATCTAATGTGAGATGTTGTGTTTATAGCTTGTTTTATCCAAGTGGGTTTACAAGTAATATTTAATGGGTAATTTCTGTATTTTTACACCTGGTTAAGCGTAAAACTAAGTAACATAGAAGACAGAAGAAAATCAGTATAAGACCTTTTTTGTCTGGATAATTTTTGCAGGATCATTTTTGTATTTTTTAAACCTGTTTCCACATGTTTGTGTTGAAATTACTTGTAGGTACAAAATGCCGTCGGCAAAAAGTGCTTCTTGTTGCCAGCAACAGACTCAAGGTGCGTTCACACTGAAAGCGAATCCAGCGTTTTGGGCGGCTTGATTACACACAAAGTTGATGCAAATTCCTGCGAATTCGCTCCGGGCGGCATGAAAGAGGAATTTGTCGCAACATTCGCTGGTTCGTGCGAGTTCAAGTTTTTCAACTTGGGTGAAAAATTTGCTTGCCGCGATGTTGCGAAAGCCTATCAGCGGTGAGATTGTCTAAACGTCACCGGCGGCTTTGGAGCATTGTTTGGAGAGGACCAGGCGAGCGGTGTAATGACAATCCGCTGATTGACGGAGAGCTGCTAAAGAACGGGGAAGTGCACGGGGAGCAGCGCCGCAGCTTTCGGACAAATAAACCCCCGTAGTCTGTCTGGATTCTGCTCTGACTGCTACGCCGTTTACCCGCAGGAGGAGCTCAGAGTTAACTGCTTTTATTAAATTAGCTTTTTACTTTAGTTTTTGGGATTACAGCTTGATTTATCTTCACTGGAGCTTCTCAGCAGCTTCCATGCACATCCAGTTCCACTGTTGTTGTTAGTGTCGGTCGGCACCCAGAGCTCTGCTGGACTACGACTTCATATTTATATAAAAACCGGACAAAACTGGACATTACTTGGAGAAAAGAAAGCGAGGAGGTTGAACTACCTGGTGAGTTCAAAATGTGTGAAAATATGTGTCTGTAACTTTATTCCGACTGTCATTGTACTTTACTGTGAACAGGTTAGCAAAGCATAGCCCTGATCGATCCAAACATTTTAAAAGTTGTTGTCCTGCTGACAGACCTGACAAAGCATGAAACATATGTTTAACAAATCGGCATAATATTATAGTTATTTCGGCATCAGTTTGATCCATTTATTGCAATTAAATCACAGCAAAATGTTTACTTTCGGTACATCTACCTGTAGTATTCACGGGTTGTGTTTATTTGCTTATCACGTTGTGTGTGTGAACACTCAAAATGTCCAACGGTCAAACTCACGCTACTAAAGGAGGCGAATATTAACTTTGCTTTCAGTGTGAACACACCTTCAGACTGTTAGACCAGGTGTCTGACAACATCATGGAAAGGATCCCTACGAGGGACTCCCAGTGCTCTGAAAACTCATTAGAGGCGAGCTGTTGCAGGAAGACGACAGTGGAAACGAGGGAGAGGAGTTTGTTGTGTATGTAGAGGAGCTGCTAGTAAGACTTTATTTCCTAACACAACAAACTCCAACTCTGACTCTCGTTTCATGATTTTTGTTGATGTTGTATAGAACTAAGCGGCACGACCGAGACACAGCAGCAACATCAGAAGGACAGCTCGTCATCAGTCATGACTCCCAAGTTTCTCACCACCCTGGCTGGAGTGATGGTTGAGGAGCCAGTTTGTAGTTTGATGTTATGGTGGATCAGTTGAAGGTGGCGAGACTTCAATCAAACCATGCAAATATGTCCGAGACAGTGTGTGATCTGTGCCGAGACAGCGGGGTCGTCTGTTGGGAAGGATAGGTATAGTTGTGTGTCGTCTGCATATCGTATGAGAAGCCATGAAAGCGAATGATCGGCCCCAGTGAGGTGGTGTAATGAGAAGAGAAGGGGCCCTAGCACCGAGCCTTGGGGCATCCCTGTGGAGAGGCACTGAGAGGAAGACAGTTGTCCTTAAATTCAAATCCAGATTTGAATCACAGGAGAGCTTTGCCCGAGATGCCCCTTGCTGAGAGTACGGATAGCAAGATCCTGTGATTGTATGGCAGCTGCTTTAGCTTTAGCTGACCTTAGGGCTTCTGTCGAGGACAATTGAGTCGTTTCAGTTGTGGCCGGTCCTAAAATCAGACTGATACGGATCTGGGAGGTTATTGCACGAGGGGAATTCTGACACCTGTTTGAAGACCGTTCGGTAGCTTTGGATAGAAATGGTAGAACTGAAACTGGCCGATAGTTCTCAACTTGAGTAAGGTTGAAGGAGGACTTTATGAGTAGGGTTAAACGGTTAGGAAAGTTTCCGAAGACAGAAATATTAATCCACACAAGTGATTGTTGGCACAATAGGAGATATGGTTTGGAGGAGCTCGGTAGGAATCGAGTATGCGATCTCTCTGTGGAAACCAGAGTTCTGCTTCAGTTAGAGGATTAAAAGAAAAAAGCTCCATATTTCTGTTTTACAGATTTAGAGGATTAACTGACTTCTGTCTTTCTACAGAGGACTATGGCAGCCTGTGCAGTTCCTTTCTTCCTCCGTTTGCTGAGAGTTTTCCGGACTCGACTGGACCAGAACCAGGACTGAGACCAGGATTTGGACGAGGCTGTGAGTGGTTTTATTGAATGCTCCTCGATTAGTTATTACCGTATGAGTTTTTATTTATGATAAATTCTTTAATTAATTTTTTCACATAATTAACTCCTATCCTCTCCTGTTTCCTCCTCTCCTTTCCTCTCCTCTCTTGTCTCTCCTACCCCTACAGCTCCTCCATACCTCCCTCCCTACAGCCCGGACTCCTTCCCTCCCGCTGTGGTTCCCAGCAGAGACTTCAGTGTTCCTGACTATGACGATTACTCTCCAGCAGGGGGCAGCAGGTCCGGCTTCAGAGGCAGGACGCCGTCCACCTTCAGCCTGCCGGACGGAGGTTTCCGCCGCCCTGAGTTTAGGTGAGGACACGTTACACTATTTAAACCTGCGCTTTACATCGCTGCTGAACATTTTACCAGTTTTTCCTTTCTTCCAACAGAAGAGTAAACGTATAGTTTTTTTAATGTCTTGTTATGTGTATGGCTGCGACTAACGATTATTTTCATTATCAACTAAAGTTAATAATTCTTTTTCTTTAAGTGTCGTAAATAGTGAAAGTCAACACATTCAAGCAGCTTATTTTTTGTCTGACCAACAGTCCGAAATATAAATATATCACAGTCTACTTTAAGGCGAAACAGCACAGCCAAATGGGCTTTTTCTAAACTTTACTTTACAATCTAAATGTATACACGCCTTTTTGAAAATCATAGCAGCTGTGGGTCTTTACTCTGCCGGTGTTTCTGGACTCTGCTGTGTTGGCTGTAGGTCTGCGTGTCTGTTGAGGGTTCCTTGAGCTGACTGGCCGGCCGGCTCGTTAGCTCCCCCCGCTGACGGTTGCTGAGCGTCACCACTCCAATATTCGACATCTACACAGTTGATTTCTCGTCTCAAACCTTCTTAGAAGTGGATTTAGTGATGAAATAACTTAGGAAAATAGTACAAAATGTTTTGTTGTCGGCCCCTCTCAGCTTCTTTCAGCCCCTCGCTTGAATGCCGAAAGCAGTGCTGGGATATCTCTGCCGTCAAGTTCAGACAAGTTACCAACAGATGCATCCTGGGTAAAATGGGCGTGTCAAGAACACTTCCAGGAATTTTTAACCATTCTTCCCAAAATGCAAACTTGTGTATTGGGACAAAACTTGGGCCACAAAAGATGACGTTTCACAAGAACACAGATTGAGAAAAGCCCAAGATGTATCACTCCATAGCTAAAACGAAGCCTTCACACACAGGGTTAAAAGAGGAGCTGCAGCAATGTGCAGTATGACAAACAATATAACCATGTAAACCTGTTCTGGTACAACCTCTAAATAAGGGTTGGGAAATGAGCATAATACCACCTCTTTAATGCTCAAAATTTCCTGGGGGAGACATATGTGCTATCTCGACATTGAGTAAATTTTTGTTTAAGGATCTCTTCGTCTCGTTCTTGTGAAACTAAATATCGCATATTGTGAAGTTCCGCGAGCTACGTGTCTCTTCACACCCTTAATCTGAGGGCCTGTGTCGCCACCAACACAAAGTGACGCCCTTGTATTTAAAAAATAATTGTTTCCCATGAAATGCCAATTAAAGTTCTAAGCATTATAGGGCCGTAATGTAGCCTTGTTCTTCTGTTGACAAATGTTGGGTTGATGTTCACAGCTTTGTAATATTAAAGAGCATAAAGGAGAGATCCTGTGTACGTTCTCATTATAATAAGGATTTGTGTTGAGCTGAGCAGATATGAGGCGTAACTTGTTATTTGGCAGTTATTGTGCATCGCAGGTGATATTACGCAGTGAAAGTAATGTAACTAGTTACTTTCAGCAGTCAGTAATCTAGTAAAAAAAAAGTAACTAGTAATGTGTAATATATTACCTTTTTTGAGTAACTACCCCAACACTATTTTTTAAAACTCTGTAAATGTCTCACTATATGAACTCAGAAACAGTGTGTAAAAATATGATCATCTAAAAGTACTTGGTTTACAGGAAACATGTCATTTTGAGAAAACGGTTGTTAAAGATTAGCTAATGTACAGAAACTTTACTTTTTGTCACATGAACACATCTCTTATAGATGTCTGATATATGGACCTGCTAACATTGTGCTCTAGAAAACAAACTTTCAAATTATATTTTATGTTTCAATATGGAGTGTTTAAAAAGGCAAGTAGAACCTTTGGAAAATGCCAGCAAAGATGAAATTTACGTAACAGACTTGGTATAAAATAGACAAATAATACTGTTTATACACAGTATATTATTCAAGCTCATTTTGCACGTTTTATGAAAGTATGGTAATTATAGTGAGAATAGTAGAAAATTGACAGATTTAAGCAAAATCATCGTTTTGGACTGTGGTGTCTCGCCTTAATTGCTATTATAGGAGACTAGTTTTTGTATTTGTTAACAGCTGTCTGTCTGTCTCTCAGCACTGGTTACTACTCTGAAGGAGACTTCGGCCCCCCGGATGGTTCCCAGCCCAGGACTCCGTCCATCCACTTCCATCCGGACCCCCGGGCCGAGAGGGCGTTCGGGGCGCGTCCTCCTCCTCCGTCTCGGGCTGAGGGTGCTCCTCTCAGCCTGGCCCCGCTGCCCGGAGCTCCCTACCAGGAGCAGGAAGAGCAGGAAGAGGAGGAGCCGGCGTGGAGGCCGGGCCCTCCCTTCACCGAGAGGAGCCGAGGAGGAGCGCCGAGGAGGGTGTATGAGAGTGAGTAGTAACACTTGATTTTCCAATAATTTCAAATAAAGTTTCCTAAAAAATTTTAAAATTTGGCTCAAATTTGTGAGAAAATGGGTAATTAGCTGAACTAAGTTTGTGTTCTCGTGTATGTTTTTGTAATTTCACAATTATTTTGCAAAACTTTATTTCCAGAACATCTTCATTTAATTTATAATTACATATCTGTTCATTTAAAACAGGCTTAAAAAACAAAACGTACTTACTGAAAAATGAGCAGCCGACTCCTGATAAGCTTTTTCAGCGGCGCTGGTTAATAATAAACTGCCATTTCAGGGTTGGATCTTTTTGTTTGTGTTTCATTTTGGATATTAACATAACAGCACGGCCGCGCTGCAGGTCTGTGAAGCCGGACCTTGTGTCGTTTAAGTCAGCAGCTCACTAAAAGGCTAACGGAAGAACGAGGGAGAGAGGCGTTCTCTCCACAGCTGGAAGTGCTGCCATCAGGCCGAACTTAGCTGTGTCGCACTCAGAGGTGCAAAGAACACGGTCTTCCATTGTAAACGTTGCGCGACCAGCAAAAAGCTTTCAACCGCGAACAATTTTGTATTGAAGCATCTGCTAAGAAACGTGAAACTTGGCCTGTAGAGAGAAACTCCGGCTGCTGACGTTGCTGCCAGTGAAGCCTCCACTCGGCTGGACGGAGCGGCGTTAATCAGTGTGTTGTGTTTTGTAAAAGCACTGAATACTTCTCTTTAAATACATGTGCAAAACAGTAACGTTACTTTAAAAGTCGAGACGCTTGCTTGATTTTTTTAAATGTCAGTGGCGTTAAAAATGTAATGCTTCGTAAAAATCCTCCTCATTGTTGCTGTTATGAGGACGCGATCAGTTTAAAAAGTCAGGAGGGCCCTGCTTTGTTTTTTATTAGTTTTAAACAGCCTGTCTGATGCAGCATCCTCTGAGAGGCTGCAGTGTTTCAGTCCGGCTGCTTGTTGCCTCCTCAGGTTCATTATTGTTCCAGTAAAGTGGATTCATTTCTAAAACGCGCTGCTGAACAGGTTTCCTGTCACTTTTAAGGACGGGGTGCGGTGGTGGAAAGTAATTGGAACAGAACGAGTAACTTCACTATTTACTAAGTAAATAACTTTTATAATCTTTATATCAACATGTAAATAATGGTTTAACTATAATGTAGTTATAAGCAGATATACATGTTTATCCACCACAGACATCAGATTAAAAAGACCATCTGTACAGCGTTTACTAGCTTACAGCTGGCTCAATTACCGTCCTTGCTCCCTCCGATATCGCTTGCTGTTGGTTGATAAAGCGCTGAATGGTTAAGGCAGTTTTGACTACTGTTGACCTCTTTTAAAATTTTAGTTTGAATGTCTTTTTTTTTAACAGTCTCCTATGTTGCGTTTGTGTTTTATGTAAAGCACTTTGAATTGCTTTGTTGCTGAAATGTGCTATACAAATAAACTTGCCTTCTATTGTCTTTCAGGGCGTTATGAGTCCTACGCCGGCCTGAGTGCAGCAGAGGATTGTGGGATACTGCACGGCTGTGAGAACGGCAGGTGTATTCGTGTTGCCGAGGGTTACACCTGTGACTGTTACCAAGGATACGAACTGGACATGACCTCCATGACGTGTATAGGTACGCAGAGACTGCCGCTCTGACTTCTCACAGGTAGGATCTGGATCGGCCCGGCTCTTGGGAAATCACACAGCACCTTACCTGAAAATATGAACACGAGTTTTACTTACATCTAGAGCAAAACCCAGAAGATCCGGTTTAACTTCCCCTATGTGTGACCTCTCGCTTACAGGTCAACAGTGTCCTCACATATTTATATCAACTCCTCTGATTAGGGATGTCACGAGAACCGAGACTTTGGTACAATTTGATACCAAAAGTCTGAAAACATGCTGGTACGGGTTTTTTTGTCCTGGAAATTCGTCTTAAAAACTCCCTCTTTAAATGTTGATATGCACGCACAACAACAGCGCATGTTTCCCTCCTGACTGAAGCGTGCCGCCGTCCCGCACAGCAAGTTAACCAGGAGCAGTCATGATACCAAGGTAGTTTGTTGTTTTTTTAACATCTTTTAAATAAAATAACTTTTTCAATATCCTTTTAAATGAAATAGTCACATTTAAATTACACTGCACGTGCATTTACATAGCAGTAATTTAAATGTGACCATTTCATTAAAAAAAGATCTTGAAAATGTTATTTAAAAGAAGTTAAAAACAACGTCCTCCCTTGTTTTGTTTTATTCAGTGTGAGTTTGTATTTATAAAAAAAATTTGGTATTTAGAAAGTATTTTTCCAAAAATGTTTCTTGAAAAAAGGTGGGGGGTCGTCTTATATTCAGACTAATCAGAATCAGAAGGAGCTTTAACACATACGAGGAATTTGTTTTGGGGATAAGGTGCTTAGTGTTACCGTTGTTTTTGTTTGAGACAGCTGACTATGTTAAATGTGATGTTTGCCAAGGCTAAACGCTAAAGGCTACCGTGTTTAGGCGCAATCTAAACATAGCTCGTAGTAGTAGACTGCCGTCCTTACCGTTCAGTCTGCCATGATGTCGTTACAGTTGTTGAGCTATATCTGATCATTTTTAAAGGAGAATATGTTGAAGTACATGGGATTTATTATTTTTTGGTTGTTTACTTGGTATCGAATTTAGTATCGAGAATCATGGAATTTCAGTGGTAGTGATATCGACTACTAAATTTGTGGTATCATGACCCTAACCCTAACCCTAATCTAGGGCTGCAACTAACTAATTATTTTCATTTTCAACTAATCTGCAGATTATTTTCATGGTTTAGTCTATGAAATGTCACGAGATGACATTTTCATTTTATAGCTCTAGCATAAATATAGCAACGATATGACCCCATTGTATGTGACAGAAAGATTATGCTAACGTTAACATTTCAAGCTACCAAGCAGTAACTAGTGTTTAGTTGTTAAAGTAAATAAATTAAAAGTAATATTGGCTGCTTTAATTACAATCCCTCTCTTCATTTTATAGCTCGAGCCTAAATGTCAAGAGATCACATTTTTCCAGAGCCCAAAAGTGACGTCTTCAAATTTCTTCTTTAGTCCGACAGTCCAAAACCCAAAGAAGCAAATGTTTCATATTTTTGCTTTAAAAAATGGCTGAAACGATTAATCAATTATCAAAATTAAAATAGTACATTTGTTTACAGTCACTTTACTAATCTAAAACTAATCGTTGCAACAACAACTTTGTTTTATCTGTTTGCAGATATAAACGAGTGTGAGGATGGAGTCAGCGTGGACTTCCCGTGCGTGAACGCTCGCTGCGTGAACACAGACGGCTCGTTCCGCTGCGTCTGCAGGAGAGGATACGTCATGTCCCGCAGACCAAACTACTGTGTGGCTGCGTAGACCGGACCGGTCTGGACTGGGCTCGATTTACACCAGTATAAACTGGTCTAGACAATCTACTAGACTACAATAGATTAGACTAGACTTGGGCTTTACTACAGGGCCATATCTCATAAACTCAACGCCCTTTTTTAACGCCATACTCTCTATGACGGCTGATTTCTGTATTTATATGTCGTGGGGAGAATGTAGGTTGGGGGGGCAGGGTGTCGCAGCGTCACAGATCTTAACAAATGTTTTTGGTTGTAGTGGACAGAATTACTGGATTTTCTCTGGAGAAGAAAAATAACTACAGAATGGGAACAGGATTAACGGATAGTATAATAAAGTGACGGTAAACATAATTTACTAGCTCAAAAATTAAATATGAATTTTCCTATTTTTTGTGTGAGGACTAAGTGTGAATAGTTCTCTATTACTCAAGAGGATTAAACAGTTTTTGATCGTATTTTTATTACACATAATGTTAAATGTACCTTTAGTGATTTATCAGTCATCGTTTGGGAGGACCCATTGTGCTGATAAGTTTGTATTTTGCTTGGAAAGTAGAAGCTAGCAGGCTAGGCTAGATAGCTAGTTAGCCCTTCTTGCTTACGTTAGCTCTGACTGTTACCTTTACCTGTCTCACACTCAGTGCTGTGTTCATCCAGAAAGGGTAAGATAGCATTAGCCATCCCTCGTTAACGGGTCCAGTTGTGCTGACGATCTATAACCGTGATCTATACAGCTTACAACGTTGCTAATCCCAACGTCAAAATAAAATTCACACCAGCTGGAAAACACTCACGTAGGAGGCGCTGTCACAAAAAATATTGAAAAATATTAACTTAACTTAATTTATGTTAAGTTAAACTTTGCCTGCTTTCCTACAACAAGTAACTGAGTAAGTTAACACTAAATTGACTTTTTTAAGTTAGTAAATTATTTGTTCAGCCACTTAAGTACAACCTCACTTGGTTTTGGTCCCGATTTATTGTGTTCATTGTCTCAGCAATTCTTTGCTTTAAGATTCCAGAAAAGAAAGGATCAGGAGTTAAGTGTTTACGTTCAATGTGGGGATTAAAACCTCACACAAAGGTATGTTAAAATGTGCAGTGTAAGTTAAAACAGTACAAATATAAAATCCACATGATTTCTGCCCAGTCTAAACCAGTCTAACCCTGTTTAGCCCAGTGTTTAAACCAGGCTAACCTCCAGGCTTGCTCTAATTAGCCTCGTAGTGCAAACCAGGCCGGCCTTCACTGTGCCAAAGTTCATCAACCACAACTCTTGTTTGGACGTTTAATGTATTGAAAAGTCTGCTAGGTTATTTTCAGTGGTAGAAAAGTGCTTTGAGACGTGTGAAGTTGTGCAGTAGAAGAAGAAACAGTAATGTGTGTTTGTTATATTAGGAAACTAAACAGACTTCACCGGGTGACACCTGCAGAGAAACACTCAGCTCAGATCAGGTGAAAAACAATAACTTTACATTTGAACTTGCTAAAAAACAGAGGGAACGACATTAACATCACCTTATACTGTAGATCTTTGTCTAACTGACGCCCAGGTGTGTAAACTGTATTTGTATGATTTTTAGAATGCATTACATTCATAATCTACAGCATAATATATAAAACACCACGTTCACTATCACCACAAATCACCAATCTGTTTAATAAAGCAAAGATTTAAAGGGCGTCATCTGGAGACGTAAACAAAGAAGAAAACGTCGTCTGACTTTTGTTAATGAATGAATTACATGAAGTAAAACAATTAAAAGTAATGTTGGCTGCTTTAATTACAATCCCACTCTTCATTTTATAGCTCGAGCCTAAATTTACCAAACATATCTGACCCCATTGCACGCTACAGAAAAGTTATGCTAACGTTACTATTTTAAGCAACCTAGCAGTAACTAGTGTTGCTCATGTAGAAACTACAGTTTGTTCTGATGTTGTTGAAATAATTTCCAACACACTCCATGTGCATTGGTAATGATCCATCCCCTAGCTAGGAACTAGCTAAGGTTAGTGTTCTTACCTGCTGTTAATATGCTGGGTTAGCTAATAGCTGGCTTAATTGGAGGAGCATTGTTCTACTTGAAAAATTATTTGTGCTGCAGCCATTGAAATACAAAGGACATGACTCATGAATCCCAAGTTGATCCATTTAAGTTTAATTACAATTTAGTTACAATTTTATATTCTGGCTTAGTTTTTTTTAGCTTGTTAGCTCAATGGCTAATAAACAGGCTGGAAAGTGTTAGCTTGTGCGTGGAAAGTAAAAGAGTTTAAGGAGCTTCGTCTTGCTTAGTTACAGCTATTTAGTTTTTCACTTGACATATGAAGGTGGTGTAAATCTCCACACTGCCCAGATGTAATTCTGTTGGATAAAATAAAAATGATCTTGATTAAATTTTAAATTAATTTAATATTACAAGAGTCAAATTTAAAGATAATTAATATGGAAAATATTAGAAACCCAATCATAGGTAAGAAAATCATATCTAATGGAGCCACCGGTTGCCCTGTTCTGTTTTCCCATTTTAATCTTTTCTTTAAACAATCTGCTCAGTCTGGCAGGCTGGCTCTAAATACTACTATACCCATGATCCTCTGCAGCCATTGCCAGAGGTGTGAATCAGAGATGTGACGTTAGTGAAGTCAGAACGCTTTATCCTGAAATTTGTGAACAAAAGGTGATTCCAAAATTCAAAAATAAATAATTTTTTTTATTTACACTGCAGGTTGTTATGTATGCACTGTGACGGACTTACAGATACCATAAAAGTTTTAAAATCAACACTGCCTGTGTGAACGATTAATTAAAAACACTTTGATTGATTTTCACTATACCAAAAACAATGAATGTGCGAGATCATTCTGGCGATATTCAAATCCCGTGTTCAGACTCAGACCAGCAGTGAAAGTATACTAAGAAAGCCCGTTCTCATTACCAGGTTCACGTCCTTCAGCATCTGGTACCGACGCACATGGCAGCGTTTAGCCTCATAGTTCAACACTAAAAGAAAGCCTAGTATAAATAACACGTATGTCTGAGTAAGGAGGAGGTTGGGGCGGACGGGCGGCGCCGAAACCGGACTTTCACCGAGGAGCCGGTGTTCGTTTCCCGTGTAAAACAAAAAGTCAACATTGATTGTTAAGTCACGTAAGTAATGTAGTTATTGTAACCCAAAACCATGAAGTGGTCACATACAGACCAAGCGGAAGCTTCCAGTCAGCGATCTGATGCAAACGCGGAAGTCCCTTAAACCTGCATTCTATCTAACGGCCAGCAGGGGGCGACTCTTCTGGTCTCAAAAAGAAGTCCGGCTACAATGAAATAAAATGTTTCTACTTGTCAGCTGATTTATTCCCTCAGTAAACACTTTCCTGATGAGTTTATGGTCTCAGTCACTAGTTTCAAGTCTTCTTCAACACAGCATGATGTTCATTTAGTAAATTATGGTCCCATTTAGAGGAACAGAGACCAGGAAGCAGGGGAGGCTTTAGGGCGGGGCTACAAGCTGACTGACAAGTCGCTACCATGGCGACCTGTCAATCAAGCTAGAGCCGACTCGTATCCTCGGCACTGTGTAAATTTAACCAGCGCTGTTGAAAAAGCTTATCAGGAGTCGGCTGTTCACTTTCTCTGGTGAGAACATTTAGTTTTAAGACTGTTGTTCGCTGGACAAACTTATCAGCCTGTTAAGATGACAGTTAACGTGAATTACAGATGCACCTAACAAAATCAAAGTTTTATTTTGAAAGTTTAAACCGGACGTTGCATATTTATTATTGTTAACTCGACCACGGAGACAAAAACGAAGCTAAAGGGGTCCTTAGGGCGTTAAAAAGTGACGCTAAGGGGTCTCGGCAGAGCGTCCATTTGTGGCGACCTGGGATGAGTACGGGTTGACTAACAAGCAGTCTGATGTCTCTTCTTCCTCTGAGCCTTAGAGCTCCATTGTTGTCCAGAAACCATTAAACTCATCAGTGAGCCTCGCCGTTGCACTCCACATGTTCCTTCATCTCCATGAACACACACACCGTCCCGCTGCCCCAAATACTCACTAGAGCGCCACATGTGGATTCATCCGCCGCTGAAAATAGTCCCCAACAAAGACACTAGTTTGTTTAAAAACTACAGTGAGCATCTGGTTTAGACATGAAATTATTTATCTGTGAGGTGTTTTTAAAGCTTTATGTCTTCAGGAGGAACCAATGAGCTCGAAGCCGAGACCCACAGGAGAACCGTACACGCGTAGCTGGTCTGGATCTGAACATGGGATTTGTTGAATTAGTCGACTTTTGATTATTACATTTGGTTTATTACCTTCTGATGACTTTTAAATATGAAATGTGTTGATGAATTTTTGACATGTCTGTACTTTTTTAAAATATTTGTTGGCACACTCAAGCTTCTTTTTCAGAACATAAACTCAAACTTCAATGCAGCTTCCGCTACCGAAGCTGCATTCAGTATTCATATTGTGTGTGTGTGTGTGTGTGTGTGTGTGTGTGTGTGTATATAACAATTCATTCTTCCACAATAATCCTTCTTGCTACCAAATGAATGAAGCTGTCACGGCCTGTAAGAGAGATGTTTATTGTGTTTTTTATTAACTTTCTGATGTAGTTAACATGCTGGACTTTGCTCCTCAGCAGCTAAAGTTAGATGTATAACATGCACTGTATCTGCCGCAGACCAGCCTTTTGTGTTCACACAGCATATTTTGTAAGTTGCGGTCTCTGGTATTTTTAAATTGTTCATTTTTATGGTTAATGGTTCACGTTTTTTATTGTTTGTATGACAAGAAATGAAAATATATTTGCACACACCTTGGCTGTTGTTTATCTGTTGTTGTCGTCGTGTCTGCAGGACGGTTGCTGGTTCAAAACCTAACTCCAGCTGCTAAAGTCTAGTCATGGAAGAAGTGGTTACTGTCGGTCTGCAGGGAGCAAAGGTATAGATTGTAAACTAGTTGACTCCTTTTTAAAACAACTAGGGATCAAGATTACTGGATCAAGAGTCCTGTAATATTGAACATCTGCTGATGAGTCTTTTTCTTCCCATTAAGATCTTTACTGGCACAAATTAAACAATCACAACATATATATATATAAAACATATTGAAGCTGCAAGCAGCCTTGGACAGCGACCGTTATAGACATAAACATACAGTTGACAGTAATACATTAGAAAATAGTAGTTAAAATTGATAATTTACTAAATTTACTTTTTCGTACATCTGGACATGATACATCTGCCACAAAAAAATTGTTAATTTCGATAAAACATGTCTGAATGTGTATCTGACACACCTTCTGAAGCTCCTGGTTCTGATTACTGATCTGAAGTGAATAAACGTTTAACGGGGTGACTCCAGAAACTTTACGTGAGATCAGCTGATGGTTTAATTAGAGAAGACTTCTGTCGACGTTGTGGCTTCAGAGAACTTTTAATGTTTGCGTTTGATAAAATATGTTTCCAATCATAGGTGTCATTTACTCTGGGGAAGCTGGGGACATGTCCCCATCACTTGAATTGAAAGCATTTGTTAAAAATGTTCTGAAAAATAGCTTGCACCAAGAGATTTTAATACTTTAAAAAAGGTTTATTTGCACAATAAAATAAAAAATGCAACGTAATTTAAATATAGAAGAAACAAATGTGCATTGTCCAAAAAAGCAACGTAAGTTAAGAAAAACAAGCAGCTGGTTACATATTTCTATATTTATGAATTGCCACCTGCCAGCTGAATTGTCTGTTTCCCTTTAAATAAATACAGACATTTCCACCATAAAGCAGGAGCAGAAAATGTCTCCTGGAAATTAAGTGTTAAACTCTCCAATGTTCTCCAATATTTTAGCATTTCATATTTTTTTTAAATAGTGTTAAAAATCTTCTCATCATGTTCTCGTGATCCAAATGTATCATCACACCCCGAGTCTGGGCCCTAATGTCGGTCAACATAAAGTGACAGCCGTGTTTCCAATAGACCTTTTTTCACAGCCAAGTCAGAGAAAAAGAACAGCTGACGTTCATTTCTTCTTCCCACAGCAGGCGTGATGAATCCTTGCCTCACTGTAGTTAGAACAGATTTGGGCATTTCCCAGGACTTCTCGCCAAAATCTGCTCTGGTTTAACGGAGAAAAAACTGTGGGAATTTGTGTAAGTGTCCTAAAGGACTATTGTGTGTACTGAAACACCCGACACCTTCCCCAAACCTTAATAAAGTTAGCAAACCGCTAGATAAAGTCTGGCTTGGAGGTATTTCCTTTCTAATTAGATGTCTTCCCATCAATAATCAGTTTAATGAACTGTTTTCTTCTCCTAACATCGGTTTGTTTACACTGACCCACTCTGCACTAGCACCTTGCTAACCAGCTAGCTTTGTGTACAGAGTGTTGTTGTTGTTGTTGAGTCACTTCAGGTGATTCTCGCGTGCTGATCACCTGAAATCCTCCACCTGGCTCCATAACCTTAATGCCTGCGCTGTTTATGTAGATCCAGGCCTCTAAGCCGCTTTATATTATAGGCCAATCCCTCCACGCACACGTTCTCCCTCGGCAGCATTAACGGGATTACAGAGGTTCACCCAGTACTCAGGCTGAAACTGTGAGCCAGCGGAATATCAGCTTTCACTTTCACAGAACGGCCAGCGCCGTTTATAGACACACACACACACTGATTAAAAACTTAAAGCTCATCGATTCCCTGAGGAGGGAGAATAAATATACAAACTGAGCTGCCAAACTCTGACCTGTTTGTATCTGAAACAATCCGTTAAAACAAAGTAGGACAGACGCATGCAGTCTAATGTGCACATGTATGTAACTCTTTATGTAACCCGGGTCCACCAATGCGTCCTTTTTTTCTGACGCCAGTGTCTTTTTTTGTCAATTCCTTCCACTAGGAGCGCCGCGTTTTTAAAAGCTGGTAAAAAACACTAGCAGCGTGACGAGGCGCTGAGCGTTTTTTTTTTTTCCGGTCGCCGAGAGTTGAAAAATGTTCAACTTTGGGAAAAACGCTGCGCTCGTCAATGTCACTTTTTACCCAGCCGTCCAATCACTGTGCAGGAGGGGGGACAAATACCACACCGTAGCAACGGTTACTATCTCGGAACCGGGCTTCGTCCTCTTGGACCAAACGGTGGTACTCGCCAAGATGTTTCCTCGCCCACAAAATCATAAACCCACAAATGGCGAGTCCGTCCTCCCTCTGTACCTGCTTCAGCCTCCTCTTCATGCAGAGCGAGGACTCTGCTCTGTGTTGACATTTTTACATCCAGTAAAGTTCGGTAGAACTACTTGCAACCACGGATGGAGGAGGAAGTTTCTGATCTCACCGGGTAGTTCAACCTCCTCGCTTTCTTTTCTCCAAATAATGTCCAGTTTTGTCCAGTTTTCGGCCCCTGCAGACTATTTTGGAGATTTTCTGACCCAGTCGTCCAGCCATCACAATTTCGCACATGTCAAAGTCGCTCAGATCGTTACACAAGCCCATTTTTCCTGCTTCTAACGCGTCCACTATGAGGACACCTGTTCACCTGCTGCCTGATGGATCCACACGCTGGTAATCGGTGTTCTTCACCTCACCGGTCGGTGGTCATAATGTTATGGCCGATTGGTGTATACAGTGTAAATCAAGTCCTGCATTCAAACTATTTTCTCAAAGTACAAAAGAATTGGCATCATATTCTTAAAGTACTGTGGTGGCAATTGAACAACCAAAATTTTGAATTTGAAAACATTTCCGTCGCGTGCTCGTACAAAAGAGGAGGTTAGAAAACACCTACAAACGGCAGGTGCTCTGAATGCAAAGCAAAAAATAAAAACACCATACGGCAGGACAAAACCTGCACAGACGCACACGTACGGTTCCTACTTTCCTCCAGCCGTTCACCTGTGTGGGATTACCTACCTGTGGCTTCAGGTGCACCAGGTGAAGAAGCAACAGCAGTAATTACACAGCTTAAGACACACAACACACATACCAAAAGTAAAAGTACTAAACATGCAGAATAACTCATTTCAGAATTATTTAATATAAATGATTTGATTATATTAATGTGTTCATCACTTTAATCCGTTTAATTACTTTATATACTGCAGTAATATATCAACATTTATCAGGTGACTTTTGTATCTAAATCTGCAAAGTAGCTAAAGCTGTCAGATAATTGTAGCAATATTTCCCTCTGACATGGACTGAAGTATAACTTTAAAGTATTATAAAATGGAAATACAATACCTCAAAACTGTACTTAAATACTGT